AGAGAGGGTTTTAAATTTTGATGTAAAGCTTTCGTGACTGCAGTAATTCATATTCTTAGCTATTTCGGTAAAGTCACGTTGAAGGGAAACAATAAAATAATAAAATATATATAAACAATACAAATCTCACGACGTTTCGACCATAACACATGACGTCGTGAGATTTTTTATTGTTTTATATATATTTTATTATTTTATTGTTTCCCTTCAACGTGACTTTACCGAAAGAGCTAAGAAAAGGGAGGGTGTTACTTTTACTGGGGCTGTTCCGATTAACTCCCCCATTCCACAGTTCTGTACGGGACAAAAGACTAAATGTAACATCGATACGTAATTTATATTTCGATTTAAAGCTTTCGTGACTGCAGGGATTCATATTCTTGGTTCTTTCGGTAAAGTCACGTAGAATGGAAATAAAATAATAAAAATAAAACATAATAAAATACAATTCTCACGACGTTTCGGCCACAACACAAGTAGCCTTCTTCAGGTGAAGAAACAGGTCTGTCCAGAAGACAGCGCTTGAGTGAACACTGCCAAGCATGGACCGCGTCTTTTAAGCTGTGTGGGCGGAATTAACTTGTGAATTAGCGTGTCACCCAGCACCACCTCTGGAGCGGAGGAGGGTGGCGGCTCTGTCCTGTGTTGCATTATGACTGTGCTATAAACTGGACTACTATACAATATTATACCTTCCAATCTAAACTACATGGTAATATATCATATCCATAGACAAATTCCACCATTGAATTATACAATGCGTTACTATACACTACCCTATACTTTAGACTATAAAATATTAGACTTGTGACATTGCACTATGTCTTATTCTGTCAACGCTACTGTATACCATACTGATGTATATTCACTATACAATCACGATACCATATATTGCATTATGAATTATGTTAAACATTACAATATTATACTATTTATTATTATACCACATGCTATAAACCATACCATTGACCGTGGTGTGAGAGGTATTAAGAGGCAGTGCCAGCGAATGAATTATTGTAATTTATATTATTTGGGTCTTTCAGTATGTAATTCATATTCTTGGTTCTTTCGGTAAAGTCACGTAGAAGGGAAACAATAAAATAATAAAAATATAAAACAATAAAATTCTCACGACGTTTCGACTGCAACACAAGCAATCATCATCAGGTGTGAAAACCACCGCCACTTTTTTCACATTTTCTTGTTGTGGTTTTCACACCTGATGATGATTGCTTGTATTGCAGTCGAAACGTCGTGAGAATTTTATCGTTTTATATTTTTATTATTTTATTGTTTCCCTTCTACGTGACATTACCGAAAAAAACAAGAATATGAATCCCTGCAGTCACGAAAGCTTTAAATCAAAATTTATGTAATTCATTCACATACCATCTCCGTAATAATCCATTTTAAATAATGAATTGATGCATAGTAATGTGCCTACTTTACCTGTTCAAGCGGTTTAATGTTTAGATGTTCTTTAAAATTGTCAAGTAACTTATGCTAGCAGTACAGTATTGCCAATGGCAATTGAGCTAGAATGCTCAAGGTGTCTTTTGCTCAGTTGACACCTCAGCCACCTGATCATGGACAAAGAGTGGCCAGATATGAGAAGAGAGAGAACTGCATCGCTGTTTTCCAGACATCCCGCATCATTGGCTGCCTGTGAATGTTGCTTGTTTAACACTAAAGTGCATTCTCTGATTACGCAAGACTCTTAAGTACAGATGATGTAAATGTCACGCTGTGTTTAGTTTGTTCGTGAAGCCAATTTTCTGTCCAAACAAGTTAATTATTTTTCGATCTAAAGCTTTTGCGACTGCAGGGATTCATATTCTTGGTTCTTTCGGTAAAGTCACGTAGAAGGGAAACAATAAAATAATAAAAATATAAAACAATAAAATTATCACGACGTTTCGACTGCAAAACAAGCAATCATCATCACCTACGTGACTTTACCGAAAGAACCAAGAATATAAGTTAATTATTGCCCAAGAGAAGCAGCTTAGTGTAACACGTAGGCTTTCGCGACCAATATTATTTATAATAAAGGTTTTTGGGTTATATCGCGTTATTTATAAATGTGTCGCAACCCTCCACCACCATTGAAATTGAGAGAAATAGAAATAACTTTAATCGCTCTGACAGCTACAGGCTTTGTGCGGCTTGGAAGCGTATTATTACATAATACATATTACAATTCCTTATAGGGGAAACACATACTAATTAACGGATTATTAACGTAGCATATAATCACAATAACACAAATTACAACTAGTTACTAATCTACAACTCATTACTAATCATAACCATTGACTGATTACCAAACGACTATATAATTACAATACCCCCCTCCGCCTCAAATCACTGCACCTGAATGAGTAAAATGATGACGTCACCCTGCTGCTCTATTTAAGACCGGGAGCAAGCGAGGGCTTCACCATTCTGGCGAATTGCTCGATGATGCTGGATGTAATTACCAGCGAAACGGCGTACTCAAACTGGAAATGTTGTGGATTCACTCTTCAACACACCGGTGGGCTAAAGTAGTGAACTATTTGTCTTTTGTCAACGTGACACTTTTTTGCTGATTGGCCGTGTCGGGTGGTGGAGGGTTATGACACATTTATAAATAACGCGATCTAACCCAAAAACCTTTATTATGAGCTTAGTGCAACTTTATTACATTTTACATGGGGGAAATGTTTTCTTAAATCTATTCATATATGCGCTTTACAACAATTATACAATTGTGCATAAGATGATAGTGGTTAAAATAAAGAGTGGGGTTATTAAAAGTGGTGGTGTAGTTTTGGTGACAGGAGAACAGGTGGGAGTGGTTACGGAGGGTTTGGGGAAGTGATAGGGTTTGGGGTAGTGATAGGGGTTGGGGTGGTGACAGGGGTTGGGGTAGTGCTAGGGGTTGGGGTAGTGACAGGAGTTGGGGTAGTGATAGGGGTTGGGGTAGTGACAGGAGTTGGGGTGGTGACAGGGGTTGGGGTGGTGACAGGGGTTGGGGTAGTGACAGGGGTTGGGGTGGTGACAGGGGTTGGGGTGGTGACAGGGGTTGGGGTAGTGATAGGGGTTGGGGTAGTGATAGGGGTTGGGGTGGTGACAGGGGTTGGGGTGGTGACAGGGGTTGGGGTAGTGACAGGGGTTGGGGCAGGCCTGGTCATAGCTGGGGCAGACCTGATCATAGCTGGGGGACGGGGGCAGGCAGTAGAAGTAGGATGGGCATGGGCGAAGGGATGGGCTTTAATAGAGGAACGGAAGCAGCTTCGTAAAGATGATTGTTATGTGTTCAGTTACGCTTCACTCTGCTCGTTTGTATTATGTTTGAGGCTGTGGTGATGTTTTATGTCATGGCTTAATACCCATTCTTAGGCGCACGATGCATACTTCGAATTGCACATGAGAATCAACGTTTGTGAATTCACACGTGTCGCGTGTAACAAGTTCATATGACTCCCTCCAGCCACTCGAGGCCACGACATAAACCACGATGTTGACCAAGAATTGATTGTCGAATCAAATGGTGAGCGCGGAAAAAAGACGATGCGATGATTTGTGAAGCGGCAAATGTCGCACCCCTAATTTGGTTCACACAAGTTTTCTTTTTAGGTCGGATAGCATAAATATAAATGTGTCGTTTACCCGCCACCACATGACACAGCCAATTAGTAAGGTTTGCCACGTAAACAACACCTGCCAATTAGTTACTACTTCAGCCCACTGGTGTGTTGGAGAGAGAATCCACAACGTTTACAATTTGAGTACTGTGACGTTTTGCTGGTAATTACATCCAGCATCATCGGGCGATTTTGGCAGAAAAAAAACGTCTATTATGAATAATATCAGTCGTGAAAGCCGACGTGTCAAACTGGTTTCACACTATTGAGCAAACTGCTCGAAAAGAATGAGCAAATAAATTGTAGGTACAATGCAGAATTAACTAAATAAATAACATCTTGGGCCATGAACACGATTGCACCAACGCCTCGGCACATTCATCAATAACACTGCGTGGCCTTTAAAGGAACAACATGTATAATAGGTGACAGTTTGAACAATGGCCCTTTTTCCGGTGCTATGAAGAAGGGCCATTGCCTGAAACGTCACCGATAATATATATTTCTCCCCTTTCACGGCAGTGTTTTTAGCGATTATGAACATTGTACCAAAGTTAAAGCTGTTAGCGAGCACCTATGAAAGCTGGCAAGGCACGCGAGGGGGTGGGTGGCCAACACCATGCCCGGCTGCCTTTGTCTCCCCAGTGGCGATGTTTACACACCACACCAGGTACTCATTTGAGGCTGAGTCGACCCAGGGGAGGCCCAGGACCAATTGAAATAATCGTCACTGGTGTTGGCCGTGAGTGGGTATCGAACCCGGATCGCCGGGTTCGTAGCGCAAGCGCGCTAACCGCTACACGACCGACTCTGGCCTAAGAGAACTAATATCTCCTCCTGCCTGATGTGCGTTGTGCTCTTGTGCAGGACACCAAGTTCCTGCCTGATGTGTGTTGTGCTCTTGTGCAGGACACCAAGTTCCTGCCTGACGTGCGTTGTGCTCTTGTGCAGGACACCAAGTTCCTGCCTGATGTGCATTGTGCTCTTGTGTAGGACACCAAGTTCCTGCCTGATGTGTGTTGTGCTCTTGTGTAGGACACCAAGTTCCTGCCTGACGTGCGTTGTGCCCTTGTGTAGGACACCAAGTTCCTGCCTGATGTGCATTGTGCTCTTGTGTAGGACACCAAGTTCCTGCCTGATGTGCGTTGTGCCCTTGTGCAGGACACCAAGTTCCTGCCTGATGTGCGTTGTGCCCTTGTGTAGGACACCAAGTTCCTGCCTGACGTGTGTTGTGCTCTTGTGTAGGACACCAAGTTCCTGCCTGATGTGCGTTGTGCTCTTGTGCAGGACACCAAGTTCCTGCCTGACGTGCGTTGTGCTCTTGTGCAGGACACCAAGTTCCTGCCTGATGTGCGTTGTGCTCTTGTGCAGGACACCAAGTTCCGAGACCAGGTGGAGGGCTTCACGGGCGTCGGAATGGAGAGCCGGACCATCACTGTGGTGCACGGCCCAGACCTCGTCAACATCTCCTTCCTCAACTTCACCGCCTTGACCGAGTCCGTGGCCAAGGTGGGCCCTCGGCCTTTCATCGCCGTTTCACTGTTCCTCACTCCGTCACTGACGCACTCGATTTGGGTTCGTGAAGCGTCTCTCATTGTGACCGCATCACATCGCGCTGCGCAAATTGAGGTAAACATAGCCTATCTCCAGCAGGTGAAAAAGACGTTTTGTTTATTTTTCATTAGAAAAGGGAATGAGGATAGATTTAAGGTGAATAATGCAATCCAATATAATGTGGATCCATATACAGCTCACTTTTGCCCACACTGTTGGATGAGGGTCTCGCAATGTCTAGAAGGCAGTGAAGGTTATTTGACCATACTTCACCATGCTGGTCAGTGCAGGTTGGTGAAGGTCAGAGGTGGACCAAATAATAGCGTTTACCTCTACTGCCCACAATGCCTTCTGGAACCTGTGCTGTGCAACGGTGGTCAACCATCCTACCACTCATCAAGCACAACCCTCAGATTAATTCGAACGGATGAGATTGGGTGCATTCTGGGTAATTTGGAAGGAGGCAATTTGGATTGATATCGCATTTAAATGCAATTGCAGCTGAAAATAACTAATAGAGACAAGGTTATAGTGAAAGTGAATAGAAAGACACCTCAAAGAGAGAGAGAGATACAGTCATATGGGCAAGAGAAGTAGAGGTCCTGAGCCTTGACTTAAAAAGGAGAAGGGAATTATGGACAGGTTTTTTTTTATTTGAACCCTTGATTGCTGGCGCATAACAAGTTCAGGAAGCAGAGTGAGGTGAGAGTGGTGAGGTGGGGGTGGGGAGGGGGGGATGATCTTGGAATTGGTGAGAGGAATTATGATAGCGATGCCACGCGTCTCTTCCTCGCTCTTGCTCTCACATCTAAGTGTTTTCTCATCTGCGCCAGCTCACTAACTCGCCTCTGCTACTGCTCGGTCTCGCACTTGCTCATTCGGTTATGTGTTCGCTCACCTGTTCATCCTCACATTTGTGGTCATATTCTATATCGCTCACGTGCACACTCACTTCCTCGCTTCACTTTACGTGCTTCAACCGTCGGAGCCCAGCTTCACCGAAACCACCCAAGTGGAATTTAGTTTGCAATAAATGTCACAAAGTAAATAAAACAAACACACAACGTCGCGTGGCACAGTGTGTGTGGTTTACAGTATTTACGGCGGCACTGCAGCCTGACCGAGGCCATTGAGGGCGTTTGACGGTGATTGATTCTGATGGGAAAATAAAACTTTGGCCTCAGTGTCCGTTCGAAATGTTGGTTTCAGTCCTGGAAGATACAAAAAAATTGCCGCCGCTTAAAAGTGGCCTGGGTCATCTCGACAGGGCAACGTGAAGTTTTGCGGAGCGTCAGAGAATGCTGAGATGTTATTGAGACACGGCGAATGTTTTTCCCCTTCATTAATGGATCTCTTGACTGTCCCATCTCGCTTTACTGAAGGTATGGACGGATGAACTCTTCACTTTGGCTACGAACCTCCTCGCACAGAACTCATCGCGAGATAAGTTTTTGAACAAAGCGTGAGTTGCACTTGTACAGCATTCCATGTTTTACATATTTTTCATTAATGTGTTAATATAAATTCATTCATCCCTTTATAATGCAGACTGCTTAAGAAGCAGCATGCAGACTACTTTGACAGAACTATAATTTTGCATTATAATTTAAAAAAGTAAAAAGGTCAAAGGTGATTTCTTGCTCAAATGAGCATTGAGGCGGTCCTCATCTCCCGTTTACAGTCCTGAGCCAGTGGTCGGGTTGAGACTCTGAATACCACAACAACTGTTCACTTCCCACAAGGTGATACCGATTTTGTTCACCCCAGAGGTATGATGGGCTGAGTTGATCCCCAACCAGGATTTGAACTCACAACCTTTCGATTGTGCTCCTGCTGAGTCACCTGGCCAGCATTTACTCCGTACAAAAAAATCCTCGGAAATATATTGTTTCAATTTGTGGTTGATTTTAATATTAAATTCTAATGCTTTCATTTGGAAAACATGACGTCTCATTATAAATTAATTGGATATTGTGACGTTCCACCGCATGTATATACAATGCAAATGTGTATATCTAATTGCTGTAGGTTGTATTCTAAAAGGTAACTGCATATGGAAATATCATATCTGTTTTAATTTTAACAGGCAGTATTGTTTAGTAGTTTAATTCTAAACACTTCAAAACATGACTGTGTTTGGGCATACCCCCTGCACACAGAAAACTTGTTCATTAATGCAAATGCATTCCTGGGTTAAGCTGTCCAACTCGTTTTCATATGAATTGACAAGCAAATAAGTGTGCCAGGCAGTGTTGCATGAGAGTGAGTGAAAGTGGAAAGTTATATAATGACATTGAAAGTAGAAAATATTTTTTTTACTTGGAACAAGACAATTTAGTTAGCTGTCATGAAATAATTCACCGTCAGCATTGCATGTAATGGAGATTGTAATTACGTGCATGTGTTATTCATAAAAAATATGGAGTTAATTATACCAGGATTAGAAACTTTAAATCATACTTGGTAGCCTCTTGAACCAAAACAAGAAAAAAGTGTCAGTGTAAATCGGAAACAATTTAGATTTTTGGCCAGGGTGTAGTGTGGAGGAAATTCCACCCATTCCAGGTGTATCCTGACTCTTATATAAATAAAAACAATGTCTCTGATGTCCCATAGTGTGGCCTTATCTGGGAGTGACATTTTCATGAGCTAAATCATCCCAACATATTTCCGCGGACTTAAAATTCCTCACTGACTATATGAATACATCGTTTAAAATGTATTAAGAATGGAAACTTTCAAGTGCTCCTTTTTATCGTGTTTATCTCAAACGCGATTCCTTGATAAGTGTCACGTTTCGGCAGTCGTGTTTAAGAATGCGTGTCGACACAATGCATACCGGATTATATAACCAGGGTCGTTTTATGTTCTGTTATTCTTAAAATGTCACGTGACTGCCATGTGAAGTGAGGGTGAAGTGCAGCCCTGCAATTGCTTGCTCACTTCACTGTTGGCGGAAGGGCCTTTGGATCTAGAGATCCCGTTTAGAGGGTATTTGGCCTACTCTTCCATGCGAGATTGTGAGAGTACCCCACACTTGACTGTTATGTAACCCACTCTTTTTTTCCTCTCACAAAATATTAGCCAGATGCCATGCTTGAATGTTAGGGTAATTTCCACAGTATGTCTTGGAATATGTGCGAAGCCAAAATAAACACAGGCAATATTTATTCAAGGAATGCAGTGCGCGGCTTAAGTGTGCCCGTGTCGGCTCCCACATAACTTGCGGCTGGCCTCTTCCCAAAAGACACACACACACGGTTGCTGAAGACTTCCTCAAGGATTGAGCTTCCCCTAGGGCCTTCACGGTAGCCCCAGAGGTCCCTTTAAAAGAGATGTTCAGTACCTCGTTTGAGTAGATTTATTGGTGGCACCGTATATGTGTGCGTCTATGTGCACGCGCGCAAATATGTTGCATGCATGTAAACTTGTGCACTCGCATTTGCTCATGTGCACACCTGTGTAACAAACTCATACAGAGATGAATATTTGTTTTCGTGTTTATGTGTGTGTTGGCCCAACAGTCTGTTAAGGCTATATGGGGAATCTTGATTTGAAGCTTTCGTGACTGCAGGAATTCATACTCTTTGGTTCTTTCGGTAAAGCCACGTAGATAAAAATAAATAAATCACGACGTTTCGATAGCAACACAAGCCATCATCTGAAGACGATAGTAACACAAGCCATCGTCTTCAGATGATGACTTGTGTTGCTATCGAAACGTCGTGATTTATTAGTTATTTTTTCTATCGACGTGACTTTACCGAAAGAACAAAAGAGTTTAGCGGGGATCTTTGTCTTTGTGGAGTGATAGTGTCGTGTTTGGCACGCTGCATGATTCAGTCGGCAACCCGAGTTCGATTCCTGCTCATGGCCAACACCGGTGACCGACTATATATGAGCCAGTCCCTCGCCCCCTCCTCGTTTGACTCGGCCACAAATGAGAACCTGGTTTGGTGTGTAAAGATAGCCACTCGGGAGACAAAGGCGGCCAGTGGTCCTGACCATGCCACCCCCTCGTGCCGTGCCAACCTTCATAGGTCGTTTGCTTACAACACTTGCCTCAACAGTGTGTTAAGGCTCTAGGGGAGGATCTTTGTCTTTTTGTAGTGGGGGGATGGGGAGCGGTGATGCATGTGAAGGGCTTCTACTTGGGATCACTATAGATGGGTGTTTTGGCCTTCCACACTGGGCGCCACAGTGTCAAGATGTTAACTACATTGCCTGGTATGCAAGAGGTTATGGGTTCTATCCCAACCCTGACTCCTGTATATTTGGAGTTTGCTTGTTATCCCCGTGGTCGTGTTGATTTTTCTCTGGGTCCTCCGGTTTTTCTCTCCACATTTAGAAACATACCTTTAGAGTATTTGGCTGTCACACATTTCCACGTAATAAGCCACTTAGTTGAGCTATGATTTGTGGCCGGTCGCTTCTGAAAAATAGCTATATAGCTCATTGGGCCTTACCTGGTTAAATAAAAATAGTTTAATCTTAGAGGTAGCGGGAGTAAACCCACACTTTATCCCATCACATGCAAACTGCCATTTCACCAGAGCCTGGCCGTCAGGGCCAGCAAGGCCTTCTCTGCTGGCCGAGAGATGGTCAGAATCAGAAAATTGTATTTTTATAATAAAAAAAAAATATTTTCATTAATGCTATATGTATTTAACAAAGTTCCTTCTCATCAGTCTATTAACGTCATTTTGTTGCTACTCTCTCCCTCAGTTGCGTTGCTTCCAATGCAGCTCAAAAATTAGAGCTTTTATACAATCAGATTTTCCACCTGTGCTGTCTCCGCCTCTCCGGGTGAAAAATCTACCCTGAGGCCTTCAGAATGTCGAGTGAATCCCCTCTGCTGTTGAAGCAAATGGGGACGATGTTGTTGATTGTGATATTATTGCACCAATCAGATGTCGAGTTTGCCAAGTTGGGCGTATTCTTTGACACGCTGGAGCCTTCTAGCTGGCCTAGCCGCCTACGTCAGCATTTTTCGTCTGGCGTGAACGGAGGGCCAGTTAGCTAACTGAAGTTAAATTAGCTAGCACGTAATGTAGCATAATCTGAGATTTATTTAAACTTCATCTTGTGACATATTCTTAGCTCTTTTGGTAAAGTCACGTTGAAGGGAAACAATAAAATAATAAAATATATATAAAACAATAAAAATTATCACGACGTTTTGACCATAACACAAACGGTCGTCATCAGGTGTGTCGGTTTGCATTAATTGATTTATTTTTAAACGGTGTATTTATTTATAAAAAACGTCAGCGCCACACGCAGCGATTTTTTTATAAATAAATACACCGTTAAAAAATAAATACATTAATGCAAACCGACACACCTGATGACGACCGTTTGTGTTATGGTCAAAACGTCGTGAGAATTTTTATTGTTTTATATATATGTTAGTATTTTATTGTTTCCCTTCAACGTGACTTTACCGAAAGAGCTAAGAATATGAATTACTGCAGTCACGAATGCTTTAAATCAAAATTTCATGTTGTGACGTTTAGTTTTTTAGATGTAGTGCTTTAGAATGTTTTCTTCTGTGGGGAAGCCTGTTGAATCCTGATAGTGTTATCTGTGTTTTACGTCATGTTTGCTTGCTTGGTGGTCGTATGAGTAAATGTGACTGGTTGTTGTTTGTTCTTGTTTCTTTGGTAATGACATTGATGTGGGCTATGCGATGTCTATTTGTGATGCAGCATCCTGTTATACTGCGTAATAGTGGTACATCCTTGATGGTTTCAGTCACCGTGTATTCATGTCTCTGCAATTAGTGTATGGTAACTCTCATAGGTGTTGAGCCTCGTGTTAAATCACTTTATTCCACTCGATGAAAGTTGCTGTCACTGTGAATATGGGGTGGTTACGTCGAATGACAATCGCCTATAGCCCTCGTGTCATGGTGATGTTATTGGAAGGCGGTTTAATTGCGGGAGGATAGCATTGAAGGCCGAGATGTAAAAAACACGGCCCACCACTGCATTTGACTATACTGCTGGGTGGGACTGGTGCATGGGGATTTGAGAAACTTGGTGTGTGTCTAATCGTATATCATTTTCTTTTCTTCTGGCAGATACACAAAACTGAAACTGCAGTCGAATACTGAAGATAAAGTGCCAGTCAGAAGGTGAGTGTGGCTGCATTTACAGAGTACTTGTAACTTGTTTTTTAAATGTACTGTATGGTAATAGGATTTGTTATAGGCGCGGAGCAATTTACTGTTCACTACAGTTGTTTAAGCATTAAAAGGCAATTAGCATGTTAATTCTAATTTACTGTTACTGCTGATGGTGCTCATTTAGGAACACATTGTGGAAATTCGTGCATAGCGCGAGAAGGAAGTCGATGACAACATCTGTGGCCAAAAATTGTATTCAAGCGTAAGATGGGATTTATTTAAATTGTTTTAAATTTTGTTAACGTTTTCGTTGCAATTTGTCTTGTGCATTTATCACCATTACGGAACATTGCCAGACGTCTTTATCTGCCGGTCGGCAACTGAGCGCCATACTCACCCAGAATTAGTTCACAGGCCGAGACCAGATAATGCCACTTGTTCGGTACCAGAAATGTGGCATAACTTAGTTATTTTTTTATTTCTATATACAGTGTTAGTTTTAAGTTACCCAAAATAATTAGGCTGCCGCATGAATTCACTTCTATCGGCCATGTAATGAAATTGGTACCGTTGAAAGTTTTGCCTCCTATTTTTGCCACCTTGGGCAGCAAATTTACGCTGCAGTGCAGAGACTAAATTTGGAGCCGCCATGCACAGCAAAATGTAATAAATATATAATTAATCGACAGTTAGTCCGTTTGAAAAATATACTAGTAAAATTAACTGCAGTCCATTTCTCCATTTGAATTTAATATATAGCCCATTGGTGTTTGTCCTTATAGACCACTCTTCCCCTGAAGCATTTGTTTAAGCAGCAAAGTCTGGGCCAGAGTTGACCTTCAGGGTTTAATCAGCAGTGTCAGTTTCGCCCCACGTGCTGGGGAACTGAATGTTTCGGAATAGCTCTGAACAGTTCACGTTACTGAAGAAGTTCCTCGCACGTGGAGTGAAATGCTGAAGATTACACCGAATAGCTAAAGGTTCAACTTTAATTCTAGAGCACAATCGCAAAACACGCGCAGTAGCATCATCTTCGGTGCCCATACTATTCAGGTTCCTCCATGTTTGATAATTAAATATTCATTTCCCACGATTCTCTCCGTGCATGTTAATTAGATATTAATGATCCAAGATCCTCCATGTCTGTCAATTACTTATACGTTACCTGCGATCCTCTACACAGTGCACAATGAGGTGCGCTGTGTATCCACAACTCAAATGCTTTCTTGAAGTCTGAGCATCCTTCATGACAACATTTGAGTTGTTGAGAAACGAAGGGGTGTATGGGAATCAAGTACATGTACAGCACACCGTGCGGACCGTGAGGGATATTTGACCCTCCATCCCCACACTGGTCATGTGCCAGTTGGTAAAGGTGGGAAGCATAGATGTACACTGCTCCCTGCTTGCCCCAACGTGTCCTCGCAGCAGCTTTATAACACTTCTTTACCCATGGTGGTCATCGATATATACACTCATAATAAAGGATTCTGGGTTAGAGCGCGTAAGTGTGAATGTGTCGTAACCCTCCAGCACACGACACAGTCAGGAAGGTTCGTCACGTGAACAACGTGACAACTAGTTACTACTTCAGCCCACAGGTGTGTTGGAGAGTAAATCCACAACATTTACAATTGTTAATTCATACTTACGCGATCTAACCCAAAAACCTTTATTATAAATAATATTGGTCGCGAAAGCCGACGTGTTAAACTGATATATAAACTATTTACGGTGGCCCATTGGTGCGAGATATTAACGACCTCTCTTGTATACAGGAGGTCGTAGGTTCGATCCCGACCCTCATGCCTGTTTATTTGGAGTTGCATGTTCTCCCCGTGGTCGTCTGGATTTTTCTCCAGATCCTCTGCTTTTTCCCTCCACATGTAGAAACATACATTTGCACGTGATAAGCCACTTCATTGAGCTATCATTTGTGGCCAGATCGCTTCTGAAAAATATCTCTATAGCTCAGTGGACCTTACCTGGTAAAATAAAAAAATAGTTTATCTCATTTCACATTGACCTCTTGTTTTTAGCCTATCTTGGACAATTCTATTGCCTCGTAGCTAGAGCATAAATTCATATTGTCAATGAAGCAAAAGGTATGCATAATGCTCACTGCTGATGTTTTGCGAGCTTGTGTTGATGATTGGTGGAATGTGAAAACATGGAATGTGCAAGGCTTATAATGATACAGCCACCTCCTCACTCTTGTCGTGCGCGGCCTTGACCGTAGTGGACATTTAAGGTAAATGCTCTCTTCAAAACTGTAAAACACTCAATAATGTAATCCAGACATTTCTCTGTTTAATAATTGCATAATAAAAACATACCAAACCGTTTCCTTTGCTGCCGTTATGATTAAGTTGATTCGTAAATAGGAGCTCGCATGTATTCTCTTTAATGCTTATTTGAGCTAACCTTATTTCAGGAAATGTTACATTTTTGAAATCCAAAAATTGAAGGAAACATTTTTCATACATCGTTGGCAGTGGTGCACAAACGCAAACAGCAGAAACTCAACACAGGAAAAAAGATATATTATAATAGGCACCATTTATGGATATTGTTCTTCATGAGAGAGTGAAAGAAAGATCCTTCTTTGCTTTGAAGATGGGGCTTTGGCCAAAACATCACCGATAATACTTGTACTGTTTATTGCAGTGTCATTTTACAAATGTGTTTTACATTTTTGGATCTGGTCGCACAAATATGCGTCATGTAAAACACTTGGATACCCAGTTGTTAAATGCGGTGAGATCACTCTCCAACAATGCACCGGTGTTGCTGCTGAAGAAGTGATAAACTGGCCACGTCTTTTTTTCTGTGCCAGCTTTTTTAATTGACTGTGCCAGGCAGAGGGGGTTTACGACACACGTTTCAGTTATGCAGTCAGACCCAAAAATCAATTATGAATCATAACGTTGGTCGCGAAAGCCGCCTGCGTGTCAAACGGAGCAGCGTCTGCAATTAAATGTATTTGTGTTTCCCTTTCTCCTCTGTTTAGCATTCTGCGCATGTTTCCCACCGACAAGAAAAAGGTTGAGAATGCTCTGATGAGCTGTGAGCTTCCTTCTGGAAGGGTAAGGCGACGTTCCCTTCACCCTTCCTCTAGCTCCGTGGTTCCCAACCCAGTGGTATGTCGAGACATCGCTAAGGGGTACACGTGGCATCTCTTGGGGGTGCACGTAACATCTCTAGGAAATACGCGTGACATCTAGAGGATACACGTCATATCTCTAACGGGTACGCGAGACATATCTAAGGGGTAAGCGTGACATCTAGAGGGTACTTGAGACATCTCTAGGGATTCGCATGACATCTTTAGTGGGCACGCGTGACATCTAGGGGGTACACGTGGCATCTAGGAGATGCGTGTGACATCTAGAGTGTACGTGAGACATCTGTAGGGGGTACACATGATATCTGTAGAAGGTACGTGTGACATCTAGGGGGTACACGTGACATCTAGGGGGTACATGTGACATCTGAGGGTACGTGAGACATCTCTAGGGGGTACGCGTGACATCTCTAGGGGGTACGTGAGATATCTCTCGGAGGTACGCGTGACATCTGAGGGTACGTGAGATATCTCTAGGCGGTACGCGTGACATCTAGGGGGTACGTGAGACATCTCTAGGGGGTACGCGTGACATCTCTAGGGGGTACGTGAGATATCTCTCGGAGGTACGCGTGACATCTGAGGGTACGTGAGACATCTCTAGGGGGTGCATGTGACATCTGAGGGTACGTGAGACATCTGAGGGTACGTGAGACATCTCCTATGGGTACGCGTGACATCTGAGGGTATGTGAGATATCTCTAGGAGGTACGCGTGACATCTGAGGGTACGTGAGACATCTCTAGGGGGTACATGTGACATCTGAGGGTACGTGAGATATCTCTAGGGGGTACGCGTGACATCTGAGGGTACGTGAGATATCTCTAGGAGGTACGCGTGACATCTAGGGGGTACGTGAGACATCTCTAGGGGGTACACGTGATATCTCTAGGGGGTACGTGAGACATCTCTAGGGGGTACGCGTGACATCTGAGGGTACGTGAGACATCTCTAGGGGGTATATGTGACATCTGAGGGTACGTGAGATATCTCTAGGAGGTACGCGTGACATCTGAGGGTACATGAGACATCTCTAGGGGGTGCATGTGACATCTGAGGGTACGTGAGACATCTCTAGGGGGTGCATGTGACATCTGAGGGTACGTGAGACATCTCTAGGGGGTGCATGTGACATCTAGGGGGTACGTGAGACATCTGAGGGTACGTGGGACATCTCTAGGGGGTACGTGTGACATCTGAGGGTGCGTGCGATATCTCTCGGAGGTACGCGTGACATCTAGGGGGTACGTGAGACATCTGTAGGGGGTACGCGTGACATCTCTAGGGGGTACGTGAGACATCTCTAGGGGGTAGGCGCAACATCTAGGGGGTACGTGAGACATCTCTAGGGGGTAGGCGCGACATCTAGGGGGTACGTGAGACATCTCTGGGGGGGGTGCACGTGACATCGCTAGAGTTGACGCCTGTCATCTCCAGTGTTTAGCTCTTAGCTAATTGTTTTTGGCGTTAATTACTTACGAATGTAATTACAACGTAGGACAGGTGATAAGTAGGTGTGCTCGACGGCGCACGGCGAGCCCAAAGGGTGCACACCACTGCTGTCTCTCTCTCGCTCTCCGTGCACACAGAGCAGAGTGTTCCACGTGCATGCGAATGGGACAACGGTTGAGATTAGGCCAACTTCACGTCCTCGGGGAGAGGTGGGGGGGGGATCATCTTCAAGAGTTTTCTGTCCGGATTTTGTGCGAATTTAATTAATCTGGCGCGTTGTTCTACTCCATTACAAGTTTCGCTCTCGGTGTTTCCTGAGATTTATGAAGCCTATTAAGGAGTTGAAGTCACACACAAAGTACATCAATAAAGCCTCGGCTTAAAATCACGTGTTTTATTTGACTCGTAAAACATATTTTTTTTACTTTTGCAATATATTAAGCCCATTCCTTTCATTTCAGCAATCGGTAGGCACTTTAGGAAACTTATGACAGTTTTTGTAAGTGGTGTAGAATTTATAATAAATACTTCTATTCTTCGGTTCATGAATTCGTATTCTTGGATTTTAAAACAATTCCACGAGGAATCAGCGCTGAGCTGACACAGCTGATATCCTTGGCTCAGATTTGGGATTGAGCCTTTGTTGATAACCCCTAGATTCTCATGTTTAATGCGTTTATGTTCATAGGTCAGTCAATGGATGTTTTTTCCCCCCCTCAATTTTGCAAACTCTACCTTTGACAAATTTCTCTCTGAGGATTATAAGTCACTTTGAGGGGATATGACATACAGTGGTTGTGATTTTTCCTATTGTGGGCCATCCTCTAACTCGGGGTGATGCACTGCTTACTGCAAGAATTCTGAATGGACATTTATTTGTCTTGACATGGAGCCGATAGTTAATGTTATACAGAGGCTTCTTTTTCATAATTGGTGCCTTATTGGTTAGATCGTGTCGACAATGATACATTTTTTACTCTAATCTTCCACTGATTAAAGCTAATCAAATCAAGTCGTCAGATGGACTAATGTGATAATTAATTAGTTTATTCAACAACCTGGATCGTTGAATAGTACGCAATATATTTTAAAAAATAAAATCCTCATAACTTTGGAATAAAAGTGTCAAAAGTAAAAAAAAAACAGCCAATGTGAGATATCAAATATGTAAAATGTATGTTTGTACGAACAAAAATTGGCCTGCTGAACGAGTAAAGCAAAAACACGCGGTGTTTTCACGTCTCATGGTGAATCTGCCGCGATGAAGTTTTATACTCGTGTTTTTGTTTAAAATATCTCGTGCACAGGCATCGTGAACATCTTGATTTTGGCAAGATTGCGGCTCCGTGTGGCGCACTCCTAACGAGACCCAGGGGGGCAGCGGCGGTGGATGCTGTGCGGAGCCAGACACGCGCGGCTGTGTGCACGCACTCGTGTGTGCGTGTGTGCGTGTGTGCATGCATCTGCGTGCGTGTGTGTATCCACGCACCCGTGTGTGCGTGTGTGCGTGTGTGCATGCATCTGCGTGCGTGTGTGTATCCGCGTGCCCGCGCGTGTGCGCAGCCCAAGCGGAAGATGTTTTTTTTTCATTCTTTGCAGAACGATAACATCCCGATAGAGACCTTCACATACGAGGCGTTCTACAGCTTCGTCAACAAACTCTGCCCCAGGACCGACATAGACAGCATCTTTGCCGAGAGGTGAACGCCGCCGTGTTGCGCGAAGCTAAATAAATTCATAACCCAGAGCGTGTGGACTTGGCCTTTGACCAGATGACACAGAATGTGCCCGATATCTCGTCACATCTCGGAAGCTAATCAGGGTCTAGATGAGCCCGGACAGCGTGTGGATCGGGTACTGCCAAGCGCAGCAGGTTGCAATAGCCGGCTTTGGGATGATGTGGTGGACAGGCGAGTGCAGTGCCGTTGAAGTTAAATATGTTGCTGTACTGTACTCTGGCTACCACAGGTGTGCACATGGTGGGGGGGGGGGGGCCTTGTACTTCTTTTAGTTCTTGAGTTAAAAGCCAAATGGAGGGACAAACATTTTCAATACATCAATGATGGTGTGATGATGATGGTGATGATTTAAAAAATATTGTGTTTCAGCCTTCTATTGATATTAATTTCTAGCGAGTAATCTCAGCTCATTCAATTGCTGTATTAAATGTTCATACCCACTCTCCAGGTTGGGTCACACCATCTCAAAAGATAAACGTATGCATTTCGCCATGGAAACCCGCACGATTATCTTCGGTGTATTGCTCATGCTCGTACTAACTCTCTGGACGTCGGAACAACAAACCGACGCCCATCCATGAATTAATAGCGGCACGATTGTCCGTCTCTTTAACCAGCGGCGCCAAAAATAAGCCCTACATGACGGTCGAGCAATTTACGGACTTCATCAACAGCAAGCAGCGTGACCCTCGTCTCAACGAGGTCCTCTTCCCTCCGATGAAGACCCACCAGGTGCAGGCGCTCATCGACAAGTTCGAGAGCACCAACCTCGCCAAGAAAGGTGCGCACTCTCGCCCGCACCACCTCCACACGTCGCTTCTCCGCTGCCTTTGATTCTTAACGGTGGGAATACGCTTGCCGGCCGCCAGTTGGCTCTGGGGTGGCTAATACAATGTCAGTGGCGTTGAACCTGCACCACCTATAGCCTAGGTTTTGAATCCAGGTTTCAGCCTCCCTTGAGTTACTAAAGTACAATGACGCATTTCGATTTAAAGCTTTCGTGACTGCAAGGATTCATCTTCTTTGGTTCTTTCGGTAAAGTCACGTAGAATGAGAATAAAATAATAAATTGATAAACTAAAATAACACAATAAAATTCTCACGACGTTTCGGCCACAACACAAGCGGCCTTCATGACGCATATTTGACTCTGCAGACAGAGGTATAGGTGGATATGTGAAAAGGTCGGATATGTGAGCATCTACAAGATTAGCACGGTTGGCTACGTATGGTGCAATAGAAGTTCAACATACATGCAACATCCAGAAAATGACATTTGACACTGTACACAAATACCGCACTTGTTTATGGCCGTTAATTGGCCAGGGCTGGATATGGGATGTTGAAATGTCCTGCAATCTTAACGACCTTTCACCATGACCTTCAAGACCTCTCACCGACGACCCTGACATAAACGCTCACCCATCGCTCAATTGCAGTGAGTTTATGGTTTCAGTGTAGTTAGCAATGTCTGCAAAACAAAATACATTACATTTGGATTTTCACTTTGTGCAGCTTATTTCGGCTCAGCGTGTCATAAGTATTGGATTTATTGCCATGCTTCATAGCACAATATTTGTTGTGGGATTTAAAGATTTAGGTGTTTTGAAGGGACTTATAAACCCCCGTATTCTCCATATTTTAAGACGCTTTGAAAATGGGCCAGATGTTAATTACCTCGCCTGGTATACAGGAGGTCGTGGGTTCGATCCCTACCCTGACGCCTGTATATTTGGAGTTTGCATGGTCTCCCAGTGGTCCCGTGGATTTTTCTCCGGGTCTTCTGGTTTTTGCCTTCGCATTTATAAACATGCATTTAGAGTATTTGGCTGCTCTAAATTTACATGTAATAAGCCACTTCGTTGAGCTATAATTTGTGGTCAGGTCACTTTTGAAATGGAGCTATATAGCTCAGTGGGCCTTACCTGGCAAAATAAAAAAAAAGTTTTTCGTTTAAAGTTAGACGCACCGCCAAACTTTTGGCAATCCAGAGAATACGGTAGTTTTGGGAAGCCATCTCTCAGGTGCTGTTCTCTGAATGAGCCTCAATAGGTATACAACAGCAGTAGGCAATGGTGGCTTTACTGCACTGATGATTCCTAATCAGGGTGGAACTCGTGTACAGTCGTCTCATTGCCTGCTGCTGTCTAAATTAATATGGCCATAATTTTGACTCCGAATGTAAATTTGACTATATTTGGTCTAATGACCATGGCATCAGTGACACGGTTGTCATACATTGGTGAGGAAAGAGGCAAATAAATGACATGGAATGTCACTAACACTTATTTGTAATGTAAGTACCCAAAACATGAGGGTAAAAACAAAACCTCTCATGTATTCTCAAAGTTATTTTATCCCGCCTGTTATTCTGCTCACTTTATTCTTCGAGTGATAGTGACGTCAGATGTGTTTCGGTGTTGACTGTGAACTTTTCTATTTATATCATGGGACCTCCTGTTCAGTGTTTATTGAGCAATTATAATGTCAGCCTTCAGGCCAGGGCACTCTTGCAATAAATATATTGAATATTAACCTTATTTAAAGGGGAAAGAAAGAACAGGTTAAGCGAAAGCACTTTAAGTTAATGTGGATTTGGCTGGTGAGCAAGGACTGCCCTGTAAAGTCCAGGGTAGGTTATTTTTGTTCATTCTACTGCACATAAACATGGGAAGGTTTATACTTTCCCGGATGTTGCAAAACCTGTTCTGCAGCCACGCCACAACCATAACTATAAGGAAATAAATCGAGTATTTTTCCACTGTGGAGTAACATTCCACTGGTCCCTCAGTGGTGTCCTGTTGTTTTGTACCACATTGCATCCCCGTGATGGAATGTGCCCTACTGTGCTTGAACCGTGGGGTTGACAGCAGGGCTTTATTCTGCCTGTGTTTTGTCCCCCCCCGACTCCCCCCCCACCACTCCCCACCTTCACCTCCCCACCTGCACTTCCCCACCTGCACCTCCCCACCTGCACCTCCCCACCTGCACCTCCCCACCTTCACCTCCTCCTCAGGCCAAATTTCCGTGCTGGGTTTCCTACGGTACCTGAACGGAGAGGAGAATGGCATTGTCCCTCCAGAGAAGCTGGATTTGAACGAGGACATGACCCAGCCGCTGTCTCATTACTTTATAAACTCGTCGCACAATACCTACCTCACGGGTAAGGATTTGCATTTATATGACGCTTTAATGCCTCGGCAACCATATCACCTTACATCGTATCTCATTCGTTACAATCCCCTGCTGCAACTGTGTCAAGAGTTACCCAAGGTGGCAGCTGCCCCTGTGTGGCACAAGGTGTACGCAGCACAGGACTACAAATAGGTTTTCACCTGCCAGTACGGGCCGATGTTGCTATGTTGTTTTTTTTACCCCAATTAATTTAGGTGAGTGATTGATTAAATTTGACATTTGACCCCGTGAAGCATGCACACAGAGTCTGTTCTCTTACGTTACCAGATCTTTAACATCCACGGTGACACTGTTGCGCAGACAATGAGTATGTATGGTTAATATGCATGCAGTATCAACCAGGGCGGCTGCTGAGTTTGAACCGCGAACCTCTGCAACAAGCGGCATGGGTTGGCATGGGGCCTGGTGCAAGGAAATATCTGAGTCTGCCCTCTTTGTAGCCTGGTGCCTGGGAAATTGCACTGTCTGCATACTTGATGGCTATGCCACTTGTTTATGTCTCTGTGTGTGTCTTAGTGCCCTGTGTTACGAACCTGGAGACCCGAGTTTAATTCCTGCCAATGGTTACCAACACTAATGACGATTATCTGAACTGGTCCTGGGTCTCCCTTAGGTTGACTGAGCCTCAAATAAGTACCTGGTGCTGTGTGTCAACATCCGCAGTAGGTTAGACATAGGTGTCCAAGCATGGTACTGTCCACCCACGCCCTTTTGTGCCATGCCAAGCTTTATAGGTCCTACTCGCTAGCAGCACTTTCCTCTAGAGTCAGTTAAGGCTATACGGGGATTCTTTGTCTTGTGTACGTCTTTACATGTGTGTATGGGTATGGGTGCCTGTGCGTACATCTAACGCTTGTCGAGAATCAGCACGACGACAAAACAAGCGGTGCCGCTATTTAACGCAGGCACCTCGTCTCTCGCTGCTCAGTAACAACGTGGAGGTTCCGCGGCGTTCATGCGCGATCCTCCTCCGTGTTTGTCCCAGGGGGGCAGCTCAAGGGCAACTCGTCGGTGGAGATGTACCGCCAGTCCCTGCTCGCCGGGTGCCGTTGCGTGGAGCTCGACTGCTGGAAGGGACGCACGGCCGACGAGGACCCCATCATCACCCACGGCTTCACCATGACCACCGAGATTCCCTTCAAGGTGTGGCGGTGCCCCCCGTTTCACCACACTCCTGTGTCTTCCTGCTGCGCAGCGTGATATACGGATTGCATTTGGGTCGTGCGACTCGGGTCACTTTTTTGCCGGTTGTGCGGCGTCGCTGTTCGAATCGTTTATTTTTTTGGTTTTACCGCGAGTTTGCTCGGAACCATGTCCGACATTTCCCTCCCATGTGCTAGGAACTTCTTCGGGAAATGAATAGTTAAGAATAGTTCGGTTGCTGAATGAGGGTGGGAAGTTCTGTATTGCTCCCATTTCGCCAAGACCTCCTTGCGAAATGAGATGTGGTTTTCATTGGTTTTATCCTGAATACTAAGAAGAGGCTTCTGCAGAGGTGAGATGCGTAGAGAGTGCTAGACTTGAAGACTCGGTGCTGCCGCTACTGCTGCTGCAGCTATTCCTGTTGTCCTCATTTCTAACTGATTGAGGCTGGGTCCTCGCTTCTGTGTGTTTAGGAGGTGATCGATGCCATCGCTGAGACTGCCTTCAAGACCTCGCCGTACCCCGTGGTCCTTTCCTTTGAGAACCACGTTGATTCGTACGTCACTCTCCCATCTTTCCTCGCATACACACTCTAGTCTAAGTGCTGTGACAGCGCATTGATGAATTATTTAAAATAGGTTATTTCTAGCACGTTTACGTGTGTCGAATTGCACGTGTTGAGAATTTATCTTTTTTATTGAAGCTGTTCGTATGCAACTGATCTGGATTAAGGTTCATTTGGGCTCAACGAGCAAAAACAAAAATGCACAAACGAGACAGAACAATAATAGAGGTTTTTTGGGTTAGATCACGTAAATATATAAATGTGTCATTAAACCCGCCACCACCCGACACAGCCAATTAGTAAGGTTTGTCACGTAAACAGAACGTGCCAATTCGTCACTAGCACAGCACACCGTTGTGTTGGAGAACAAAGCCACAACATTTACAATCTGAGTACGACGTTTCGCCAGTAATTACAACTAGCTTCATCAGGCGATATCCAGATTTGTGGATAAGTCCTCCTGAGACGGAATAAACAGGAAACGACACAAATAAGATGGTAAACATGTTTTAAATTAAATATGTAAATTTATTAATACATTTAATTGTGACCACGAATTGTGACAATTCATCGATTCATTGCGCAAGGGTAAATTATTACATGCCCTGCACGGTCAGTCGTTCAATTAAATGTTATTTTGCTAAATTGTATTCATCGATGTTTCAATCAGCATTCTGTAGGATACGAGCACCATGCCCCAATGTACCCTCTTGCAAGTGATTGTTCAATTGTTAGAGTGACATCAAACAAATTTCTTTATTTTCATCAGCAGTAGCTGCAGCCGTGATCAATACACTGCTCGATGAAGGCCTCACCACGTCGTTGCCATGCCCCATGGTCTTACAACGCCACAGTCCATCTGGTTCCTGCACGCGAGCTAATCACTTCGCTGCATCTCTGTGGCGGTCATCCTCTCCCTACCCTCGCTCTGGCCGCTATTCTGTCCACGGTCTTGTCCTAGCAAATGTGTCCTGCCCAAGCCCACTTACATTTCTTCAGAGTAGATATGATGTTTAATTCCACGCCTAGTCCATGTGTTCCTGTTTTTATCTCTCATTATAATCCCAAGCGTGCATCCCTCCATGGCTTTTTTGTGTGCCATTTGCAGCTTTTATTCCACTTCCTTTGTCAGCGTCTATGCTTTACCATCCACCTGTCATCCTAGACAATACGCACTGATTGAAAACTTTCTTCTAAAGGAACATTTTTGTGTTTATTTTCATTATAAAATGACAAATAAAATTCAAAAGCACAGCAACCTGTACTCGCCTCACCTCTTCATTTCATCAGTTTGATCCAGGTCACAATTTAATAATGAAATGCTCCTTAGTCTGTTCCAGTTGTGTAACGCCAATACAATAATTGTCTCTCGTTGAGAAAACTTAGTTGAATGTTGATTTTTGTTTGCATTCATCGCTCTCCCAAATTCGCAGACTTCCTTGTTCCAGATATTCGGTAATTTCCTGAAGTTAAATTCTACTGATCGTTCACAATGGCTTGCACTGGCAAATATGAGTTGATTGGTTTATACTTTCTGAATTTATGTTAACGCCTTTGGTTCTTTAAAACGTTCAGCAAATATCTTCATTGAATACCTGTGAATAGTATTGAGTGAGAGACTAATTTGTATAATTTAAGCCATAAATTGTGTGTATATATATACTGTACTGCATTTCATGTTACAGTATTCCTTCAGTTATATATGTAACAATGTATTCATTTTATTGGGCACTTTATTTTGAATGTCATGCAAGTTCCTTGCTTTTTACTTGGATTATATTGCACCCGTTCTTTACACAGTTGTGAAGTAAACAAATATACAATACCTCCAAAAATATTTAAATCACCTGCATGAATGCCTTGGCCTTCATACTGTGAAATCAAAACCAAACATGATTTCAGAGTGGTTTAGCCCACTGCAATCATGAATTGTAACATTCGCCGAGAAAACCTACGTGTTCTGTAAACGTTTAGTTTTCGTTGATTTTGTCGTGTTTTGTCTCGTCAATTTATTTATTTACTAATGTATATGTATATATTTGTTTTCGCGACAGCCCCAAACAGCAGGCCAAGATGGCGGAGTACTGCAGGCTGATGTTTGGAGACGCTCTGCTCGTGGACGTTCTTGACAAATATCCGGTACGCACGCAACGCTCAAAACCTTCCCTCCCCGTGCGGCTCGTTGGATAACGGTCGCTCTGGTGCGTGGGACGACTCCTCCCATGTGCCTTTCCTCGTATCATCCATCCCCTCGTGTATTTATTTTGCCCGTTTTTTGTTGTTCAGCTGGAATCTGGGGTGCCGCTACCCAGTCCTGAAGAGCTCAAAGGGAAAATTCTCATCAAGAACAAGAAGAAGAAGATTTCCAAGGCGGATACGGCCCGCAAGAAGCTGGAGGTGACGAACTCCAACACTCCGAGCGAGTCCAGCATCGGGGACGTTCCTGCTTCAACTGGTGAGCAGAGGCCACAATTGGTGGTCGTCACAACTGCTGTCACGACTGCCACCGTCATTGTCATGATGCTCATCATCATCATCATTGTGCATGAACACACAAATGTAAATTACATACATTGTCATCTTCATTGTCATCATTCATAACTATATTCACTGTGTACTGTGGTTTCTCACATCACATTGAAGACCTTGTAGAGTCACAGGACATTCGCCAATCCACTGTTGGAATAGAGTTTCCCCAAGCAGCGCAGGCTGTGAGGGTCATGTTGACACTATTTCACCACACTGGTCAGTGTGGGTTGGTGAAGGTAGTACAGACCAACAGTGGGTTTTGTTGCACGTAGAACATGGCCATTATTTTATCTTTATCATCTTCATCATCATAACCCCGTGGTAGACACGGACACCGTGTGGAATATCGCCATCGTTATTAATGTTTTAATTACCCGACGAGAGTGTAAAGCAGAGCATATTCCCATGGGAGCATAATTGAGCAAACAAGACAGAAGTGCATTTAGTTCATGCATTCGTGAGATGCACGGCGCACCCACAGTACAATTTAACATGACCCCCAGCATCTCCCATAGGAGTGGAGCCAGCAGACAACTCACAGGCTCAAGCTACACCCAACGGCACAGAGAGAGTCGCCAAGAACACTGACTGGCAGAAGTCCACCATGTTCAAGAAATCCTTAGGTAATTCAGGTCTGTATCCAAGTGGCTCAGCAGGGCAGAGTAAGAGGCTTGTGATTGCAGGCCGGCGAGTTCAAAGCCTGGCCGCGGGTTGACTCAGCCCATCGTTCCTGTGGGGTCAATAAAATTACTACCACTTTGTGGGAAAGTCAGCAGTGGTTGACTCTATTTTGATCCAAGGACAGTTAGAATCGCTGTGCCACCCCCATGTGCAAACAAGTAGAACGTTCCAAACCCCCTGTGTCTTAAGCTGTAAAATATATGTGGGATATCTGTCACGGACTATGCCGTTTGGGCAGAGGGGTTGATGCGTAGGCCTACGATGGATGTCCCGTTATTTATAACGCGGTGCTCGGCAAACGGCGCGGCAACGATTGAGGACGGGACGGGGGAAGTTTACGTTGGGCTGCCAAGATTTGTGAAGGCACTGACAAGCTCGGAAGCTTTTTAAAATCATTTCTTGTTTTGTTTACGAACACGGCTGGACAGCGCAGTAAATTTCATGGCGCACCTTGTGCCCGTGTTTGCACCGGATAGCGACGTACTCTGGGAGGTGCGAGCTAAAGAAAGGTGAAGTAACTAATGGCCGCTTGACACGTTTATAGACGTCAAACGGAGGCTCCGCACACGGACTGTAATTCACGCGGCGAGTGAACCCATGAGACCGACGCTGGGCGTACGCAAGAATACTCCGCTGACGCACCCGTCGCTCCTTGCTTCCGCAACATCAAGTGCTCGCTCAGTGGTTTGAGCGCGGTGAATTGACGCGGCTGCAAAATTATAGCGAGCCATAGCCCAGCCAGTAGTGCCTCCCGTAGAAATGAGAGGAGATTGTGTTTTTACAAATAGCCAAAATGTTCGTGGCATTACCCATGTATGAATGACTATCTACAGTTTTGTGTCAGCTCGAGAAGAAAGTTGTTCAGAAAAATAACTGGAGGCAAGCACTTCTGGGGTATTCCTCATGCAAATCGGGCTCTTAAGGGTTTCCATTGATAGCGATCATGAATGCAACTCACAGCACCTTACATCACATTTCATCTCAACCATTCCAGTGCCCTCCTGTCGTCTAGTTGAGGGGACCCCCCCTGGTGGCAGCTGTCCCTGTGTGGCACAAGGTGAAATATTCTGATTCTGAAATACCTCGGCATGTAAATGCAGTCTTGGTCTGTGGCTTTTCCCATATGCGTGATAAATATAATTTGCTCATCATTTGTCAAATTTGGATCATGACGCCGACGAACGGTGGCCTCCTCTTTTTCAGATAACGTCATGGTTTTTACCGCCCGCTGTGACGCACACAGTGAATGTGAAGCACACAGTGAATACACCTGTAGTATAAACTGTGACGCACACAGTGAATACACCTGTAGTATAAACTGTGAAGCACACAGTGAATGTGAAACACACAGTGAATACACCTGTAGTACATAAACTGTGAAGCACACAGTGAATACACCTGTAGTATAAACTGTGAAGCACACAGTGAATACACCTGCAGTGTAAACTGTGAAACACACAGTGAATGCACCTGTAGTATAAACTGTTAACCACACAGCTAATTCACCTGCAGTATAAACCAGGGTGGCCTCTGGGCTCGAATCACAAACCTCTGCTGCTACTCGGCCATGTCACTGCCATGTCACGTGTGCTACTGAACATGGAGCGCGAGTGTTGTGCGGACGGACACTTAGCCTTGCAAGGATGGTATTGCTTGGAGGCTGGAGTTCATGCCTATTAATATGCATGTTCTTTTGGGTGATTCTCTTGAAGTAGTGATGCCAACTTGTTACAGGCGATGAGGACGTGGGAAGCGATGATGAAGACTACAATGAAGAGGAACTCAAAAAGGCCAACACAGATGAGGTGCGGTAACACACCGAATCTCAGAATGTCGTATTAAATAGGTAAATACTACACATCATAGGGTTGTTATTTGCCACAGGGCGGAAGCAGTGGTAACACTCTTCCTTCACAGCAAGCAGAGCCTGGGTTCGATTCCCGGCTTGGATGTCTTGCTGTGAGGAAAGACGTCTCCCGAGTGTGGAAGAGTAGGCCGGATGACAGGGGCTCTCTTGAGCTCTGCTTTAATGGATCCCCTTCCACCAGCAGTGCTGTAAGGAAATAATTTCAGCCCTGTACCTTTGTATTAAATATGAACGCTTTGGATGCTCAGGGAACTGCAAGCATTGAAGCAGGAGCCTCGGAAGAGATGTCCAACCTGGTGAACTACGTGCAGCCCATCAAGTTCGACTCGTTTGAGGATGCCAAGAGTGAGTGTCAGCTTTCATTCCTCATGCGTCATTCTTTTGGCAGTCGCAGTACTTGCTTGAGCAATATGCTCCCCTACAAAGTGGATTGAGGACCCGTTCTTTCTGAATGGAAGGAGCGATGGACTTAAGAATTTGACGATTGGCTATGCGCGACCTATGCCCTTAGACCTAGGTCATATGGCATGTTTTTTCAGAATGCCCCGGGGTTATGAGTATGTTATTCGGCGATGCTGCGTTGGCACTGGTTGCGAAACCAGAAATAGCGACAAAACAACTCGCTGCCTGAAAGAGAAAACAAATCTATAATCGGCATCGTTTGGTGTTGACTAGTTCGCCGCCTGGTGAACAACGTGTGTATTGCACTGATGAAAAAATACGTGACCGGGTACTGAAGGGCAAGCCCAAAGAGGCGTGAGGTCACTCGTGCAATGCAGTTTTATGCGGGATTTAAACTCATGTGAAAAAAAGCAGGTTGGGATGGTACTGGAGTGTGCATCTTATGATGGGGATTAAAAAAAAAATTAAGTTTATCAGCAGGGTTGCCAAACCGAGTGCTCCACAATCGTTGTTGTATCTTTATTTGTTGTATCTTTATTTGTGGTATCTTTATTTGCTGTCTTTTGTCGTGGTTTAGTCACCGTTGATGATTTGAATTTCAATGAGCAGCCTCAACTAGATTTCAACTGTGTAATATTTTTCACATCAAGAATGTAATTTTATTGTCGCATTCGCTACAGAGGCCAGTGATATAATAATGCACACTCCGAGATCACAGATTTTCCTGAAAAACGATGATTATTTTTTCCCCGTCTTGTATACGTGATTATTCAAATTGCAAGGGACGTGACATCTGTTGCAAAAGTTGTTGGGTAGGTCACGGAATTGCTCGATCATCTCCGCTCCTGTGAAAGACAGAGCTGCTTGGCAAGGCCGTTGCATGCTTAATCTGGTTTGCTCACTGTCAACAGAACTCAAATAGGTTATTGGATTTGCTCTTACCGCTCTAATGGAAACCTGCACATTCACCATTCGATCAAAATCATTAATGAATCTTAATAAAGGCACGTCGCCCAACATGTTGTCTACTCTTTATAATAAAGGAGCATTCTATGGTTTTCTCACGGCCAGAGTTTGATGCCATGAGCCCTTTAGTCTTAAAATCGACGACGGTCAATGATAATCCGTGGAAGTTTAGTTCGGTCTTAGTCTGTGGATTTTATCAAGTCGTTCAAATAACACAGTTCTGACTAAATTAACACTATTCTCAGTGTTATTGACTCAATGATATCCACAGACTAAGCCTTGACTAAAATGCCACAGGTTGTCGTCGACCAGAATGATACTCACAGCTGACTAAATTAACACTGCTTCATGGCCTTATCACAGATTAGCTGCAATTGTGTTGCATACAGATTGACTTAAGGAGGATTTTTCTGTTATTTCTCTTCACAACCTGATGGAAATTGTGATGCCAATGTTCATGTACCTGCATGTAATACAAACAATTAAAACGTTTAAAACATATAGTGATGAAGATAATTTTCAAAATGTAACACTGGCATTAAAACATTGCTTAAAGAGTTTACATTATGCTACATAAGAAATCAACTATGTTTTAATTTGACGTGTGGAAACATTCGTTGCTTTCGGCCGTCAGACTTGTGGCACGTGAAATATATTGCGCTCGGGAATTCCACACTTGGTTCAACAAATTCTCGCTTGCCCGAAACAAATGACACGCGAAACTTTCCCTTTTCTCCCGGTCAGAGAGGAACCGAAACTACGAGATGTCTTCCTTCGTGGAGAGCAAAGGCATGGAGCAGCTCACGAAGTGTCCCGTGGAGTTTGTGGAGTATCCTCCCACTGGCGTCGCGGCGTCCTCCCCTCTCCAATCTGGATGATGATGATGATGATGATTTAAAAGTGCATAGCTTCCCAACACTGGAAGGAAGGGCGTTCCAGACGGCCGCAGAAGCGCACCTGAAAGCGCGCGATGCAGTGAGTTAAATCATGGTCATTACGCTGCTGCGTGAAGGCCTCCACAAGGCACTGTCCACCTGTCATGAGCATGAGATGTAATAATTCATCTAAGACATGCACACGAGCTGATTTCATCGCTCCGTTTCCTATATGAAGGTACTTTTAAATATACTTCCATTACTTGGTTGCTATACCGTCATTGTTATGGCCCATCAGCCATCATTCCTCGTAGCGACGTGTCCTGTCCAAGCCCACTTACTTTTCTTCATATTTTGTTAATGTCCTTTTGTTCATCTTTGTGCCTCACAATGTAATACGTCTATTTAATTGTACACTATTCAGTTTTAGTTCCATTGTTTTTTGTGAATGACCGTGCTTCTAAATCACGCATTGGTACGTGATTTTTATTGTCTCTCCCACTGTTGATTATAGATTGAATTACTTGTAAGCATTTTAATGTCCTTTTTGTTATGTTTTATTCTTAGATTTGTTTTTGTCTCATATGAGATGAATCTAATTTGATGCGTAAGCATGCACGACCATTATTGTGATCCGTAATTGATTTTTTTAACAAATCGTTTGAGTAAAATGTGTGTCATTAAACCTCCTCCATTCAACACAGCAAATTAATAAAGTCACGTGAACAAATACTGAAGGATATTTTCAGATTTCTGTAAACTGGATATTTTCAGATTTCTGTAATGATACTGGCTCTAACTACCAGTTAAACGTCGTACCCAATTCGTTAAATGTTCTGACATTGCTTTCCAACAACACACCGGTGGTGCTGAAGCAGTAACAAATGAGTACTTTGTTCACGTGACATCTTTATTCATTGGTTTTGCTGAGTGGAGGAGGATTTATGACACACATTTTACTTACGCAATCCATCAGATTCATCTATTAGATTCCCCCCATGCATGGTACAATTTTTGTGGGTTTCACTTAGAGGGCTTGACTCATGGGGACTATTGATTCATCATAATATCCTTTATATAAAAAGCCCAATTTAGCCCCGACTCTTTAAGGAGTGTATTGCATTTGGGATAATTGGCCAATTCCATTCATGAGTGTTTGGCTTGCGGGCGAGAAATCGAGGTTCCCAAAGAAAACGCACCCAGACGGTCGGTTTATTTGGGGTAGAGCCCATTGAGCTATGGCAACGCGGCCAACGTGCCTGGGCTCGTTACCTTGGAGTATGTTCGTACGGGGGGTGGGCGGGGTGGTAACTGTGCACAGGTCGATCCACGGCAATGTTGTTTACAAAAGGTGTTGTTGGTGTGCCACAGGAATTTAAACTTCTCCTGTCGGTTGGTCATCCTTTCCACTAGTGGGCAGTCTTGGACTTCTGCATCGGCAATATTTTGGTACAGCCTTCTCAACTTTTATAAGCTGACCGCAGGCTACTATCCATCGATTGAAATCGATTCTGACACTCGAAACGCACTCATTGCATGGTGTGTTTGCACAATCTTTGCAATGGTCACCAGCTCCAAAGAGTTGGGATTAAGTTTTTTTTTTATATTTATGTAATCGCCAAAATAATAAAAAAACAAGGTTACTGTTTTAAGACTAACTTAAATATATTCCTGTTTATCCAGTGCAGTGGGTTTGGCTACATGACTACATAGTAGTAGTATGCCAACATTATTGTGATTAACTTCCACCACCCAACAAGATTGTTCACGTTTGCAAAGATATTATTTGTACGTGCCAAATTATTGATCAAATTCTGACCAATAAAGCTCTCCTGTAGCTCAGCACAAGTCAAAGCCGAATTTAACATCAGCATACTAAGTTTCACTCAAATTGCGTTGAGCTTCTTCGGTTAGTAAGCTTGGACATCGAGTGAGCTTCATCAGGGTGACTTTATGCTACAAGTCATTAGCTTACTCTGCACGATGTCAGGACGCATCTGTGTTGTGCAGCAATCATTGTCTATTGCTGCTATCATCTGAATGTGCACAGAGAAAAATAAAATGCCACGTGCAGAGGATGCCGGGTGTCGAAAGTTGGTGAATTTGGCGAGAAGGAGTTGGTAGTTGTCTGCTGTGCAACGATCGTCGCTTTGTTAGCGTTCCTGTAGAGTTACTAAACTTGTCAAGGAGTTGTCGTCACACAAGTAGGATAGTCTCAGGACCTGTATTAAATACGTTTTTTTTAATCTTAAAAAGTTGAACTTCCTTTTTTTTCCAATCGACTTAATTACATATCTCATTGCAAACATTGTGGCCATTAAAAAAAAAACTCTTCAAAAATGTTAACCAAGGCAGAATGCAATCGATTTTTGCACTATCAATATTATGAAAAATTCCTTCTCTTAAACGTTGTGAATATGGTATTCAAAACATTTTTTATTGACTTGACCAGGTAGCTCGGGGCTCAGAGCACTGAGCCAGCACCAGGATCTCAGTTGCCCATGATTAAACTAGGTTCCGAAGCGTCGTGAATTGATGGTCTCAGCCCGGTTACCAATAACTGTAGAGAGAAAAAAATGTCATTACGGTTTTTTCTTTCAATTCAATTGGCGAAATTCCAGCTCTGACACAAGGTGATGCATTGCTTTGCGAAAGTTCCGTATAGACACTTCTTCATCTCGTGATATGATGTCGATAGCACAGTCGGAGTTAAAAACTATAAAGGGCAAAGGCGCAGCCCTAGCAATTGCTTGATTTCACCACTGCTAGCCGAATAGCCTCCAACTGGAGGGGGCTCTAGAGAGCCCTACTCAAAAGTTGTTTTAAATCTACTCTTCCACTGTGGCCTGATGTCTTGAAGGTGTAGCAGTACTGCCACTTTACCCCACCACACATGACATAATGATTCACCTTACCCTGGTGCACCGGGTTACACTGCCGGGTGGGCTGAGGCAGGCGGATTTAAGAAACTTGCACCATTGTTTTCACTTGCCGCCAGTTGAACCCCCGCACCCTCCGGATTGCAAGTGCAGCGGGGATAACCATTAGTCCGTTGCAGTATTCCCTACAAATGTACATATTTCATTTAAAAAAAAAGAAACTGTATATGGTGCTAAAACCATTATATATATTTTTTAAACGATCTTCAAAGTACGAGTCTGTTGTGGCACCTTAATCAGCAACTTCTCGACTTGTCCACCGCCATCAACACCGCATCGACTCCTGAAGATACAACAAGACCCAGCTGAGCCGGATCTATCCCAAGGGCACACGAGTCGACTCCTCCAACTACATGCCACAGGTGTTCTGGAACGCTGGCTGTCAGATGGTGGCCCTGAACTACCAGACGTTAGGTGAGCTGCTCTGCTCCACATCACTTGCTTGTTTCGTGCCAAAGCCTTTCCCTAACGCGCCTCTTGTCCCCTGAAACCAGCACGTGGATGTACAAGATAGGACATCGATTTAAAGTTGCTGTATTTTTACTTTAAACTTCTTTCGTGACTGCAGGAATTCATTTTCTATGGTTCTTTCGGTAAAGTCACGTAGATCGAAAAAATAATGACAATAAAATAGTAGTTTGGGTGACTCACCCCCCACTTCCTACCTCGCTGTACTTTGTATAGTGAAGGCAAATAAGTCAGGTTGATTCATGATCCAGTGCTCCCTGATTCACTTTAGTAATTTGCTCACTGCTGCTCAGCTGCCTCTGTATCACTCTTCTACTGCTACTGTAGGGTGAAGGTTGGCCAGGACTTGCTCCGATGGTCACTCTCCACTGACGTTAGCTATGGCCGTGAATCAATTTTAGGTCACTAGGTTCACAGCACAGAGCACCGTCCTCGCCTATCCTAGAATAGCCTATTATGATTAACTCGCCTTTTGCCCGTCCAAGGACGGGTGTATTGCAGTAAATCTGAAACTTGCAAGCGATAAGCAGACCGCGACGTGATATTCAGTGCATTAATGCGTGTGCAACTTGTAAGGGCGCGGTGACACAGACTTATTTCATTTGAAGGTTATAATCCCTTGTTCATAACGACGTCCTTTTTACTTTGATGTCTCCATAGCGTTACGGAGATCACGTGATGACGTGAGGGTTCTGCCTTTGTAGTGAGGGTTGTAAGTTGACGCAGAGGAGGGGAGAGGGGGTGCCTCGCCCCCCCATGCGGAGTGACGTCACCCGCTCATGGTTATTAATGAGGGGGGAGGGTGCTCCATGTGGAGTGACGTCATCTGCTCATGATTATTAATGAGGGGGGGGGGTGGGGGAGTGTCCATTTGGAGGACGTCACTTGCTCATGATTATTAATGAGGGGGGCTGTTCGATGTGGAGTGACATCACGCACATTAAGCACAGAAATTCCTTGGTGATTATAGTAGGTATTTCACTAAGATTAAATTCATATTAGTAAAAAGTCTCAATACAGCCGTACTGTGACACATTGAAGACTCGTGCATGCGGGTGTCCTTATGAGGTGCCCAGTCTACCTTCTGCCAGCGGGAGGTCGCTCTTTTTCTGCTTTTGCCCCTGTAATCTAAACCTCCCTTCCACCAATGAGCTTTTCTTTCGACTCCCTGCTCAAGTGGACACTCAAGATCTCCTCTCCTCCTCTTGCTGTGACCGTGTGTTTCCCTTTACGAAATAAGGAAATAAATATATAGTTTTCCCCTGGATGCTCACGTCCCACTATTTTTACAACACCTTGAAATATGGCTGCGTCTATACACGCTGTATACATCCAAACTGTATTGTGTTGGGTTAACCAAGGACAGTTTTTTGTTTCACTCTATGCATATTCACAATGATTTCCGGTAGATGTCCACACTCCTTCACAACCCACAGTGAGAACTGATTTCTCTCACCTTCTTCGCCACCCAGACTTGGCCATGCAGCTCAACATGGGCATCTTCGAGTACAACTGCCGCAGTGGCTACCTGCTCAAGCCAGAGTTCATGCGCCGGGCCGACAAGCAGTTTGACCCCTTCACGCAGGACATCATCGACGGGGTCATCGCCAACACCATCTCTGTTAAGGTGGCCCCCGCGTGAACAATGCAAGCGTTGGCACGGGCAGATATTTCAGTATAGGGGCAGGGGTAGACAGTGATTGGAGTGGCAGCATAGGAATAGACGGAGAGCGGTGGTGTCATCCCCTTTGGCGGCCTAAAGCAAAACAAATATTTTGAGGCCCCCACTTTCAATGTACACACTTTTCATGAGATGACAGAAGGGAGGAGATATAGACAAGAGATATTGAGATGTAGTAAGATGAGAGAAATTCTCTGTGTGCGCATCTGCTGCGCTTCAGGTGATCTCGGGCCAGTTCCTGTCGGACAGGAAAGTGAGCACGTACGTGGAGGTGGATATGTTCGGATTGCCCGTGGACACCAAGCGGAAATACAAGACTCGCACCAGCAAAGACAACAACTCCATCAACCCGGTGTGGGAAGAGGACCCCTTTGTCTTTGATAAGGTCAGTCCACTGCTTTTCATTTCCTTTTATTAAGACGCAAAATAAACTGGCACTGCTCAATTATTGCAATAATGAAAAAAGATCTTGAAATTACACTAAGAAGCAGCATTCCCCCCCCCCCCCCTACTGTGACAAGAAGACAGGATGCTCCTGATAAAAATTTTATTTATAATTGGTGAACCTTTCCTGAGTAAACAATAATAAGAATTTATGATGGGCTTAGGCCAGATATCCCACCTGTTGGCACCATGTTTGATTGAAATACTATATTGGTACCAACGTTTATTTGATGACGAATGAAAGCGCTCTCTAAAACTACTAAACAAATATATTGTTTATGTTACCAGGTAAGACCCACTGAGCTATGCAGCTCTTTTTCAGATGCGACCTGGCCACAAATGATAGCTCAACGAGGTGGCTTATCACGTGGACATTTATAGCAGCCAAATAATCTAAACGCATGCTTCTAAATGTGAAGGGGAAAACCAAAGTATCTGAAGAAAAATCCACGTGACCACAGGGAGAGAGACCATGCAAAACTCCAGATATACAGCAGGCCTCAGGGTTGGGATCGAACCCACGGTCTCCTGTATACCAGGAGAGGTAGTTAACATTTAATCGCCGTGGCAGGATGTTAACGGTAGTGCAGCCTGAAACATGATACCTGGTCACTTGCAACTCCGATTTCATCATCCATGATGATGGCCAAGGAATACAGCATTGAAATCAGATCATGTGCAGATGCCAAGCTGATTGTTACATTCGCAGAACCCATGAGAGAATGCGACGACTTGGGGAGGCCTTCGTCCAGCAGTGGATTTATCTTGGCTGATGGTGATGATGAAGAAGAGTGATACAACTTTCCGTTATGTGGGTTATCCCATGTCTTATTGACTTCATGAAGATATTTGTGCCAATAAAGTTTGGCCACTGCAGGCGGTATGCAGAGAACAACATTTAAAGTGAATGAAATCCAGTGACATGCCATCAGGTGAAGGACAAGCACACCAGCGACTTGGCAGGAGAATGAGAAGTGCTCGAAAAAGGATAGAATAGGCAAGATTGGCAGATGGAGGAGACAACATTCTCAAAAATAAAACGTTTTTTGTTCGGAGGGAAGGAAACTGAGAAATCCAAGGCAAAAATGAGGTTTACAGATAATGTTGTTGAGGCTTTGAGAAATAAGGGAGAGGACTGGAGAGTAATGGAGACAGAAAATGAAAAGAGTGGAAAGTATGGAGAGATGTTTTTTCTCAACCTACCCAGACAGTGCCTGGACATAGAGACCAACAAAGACCACATTGGAATGACCACGATGACGGTTGACCATGGCTGGCGGTCGTGATGACGAGTATGCGTGGTTGTGTCTGCAGGTGGTGCTGCCCAGCCTTGCGTCACTTCGCATCGGCGTGTTTGAGGAGGGTGGGAAGTTCATCGGACATCGCATCCTGCCTGTGTCTGCCATCCGCCCTGGTGAGGGGAGGGCTGCACACTTGATTCAGAGAATTAAAAAAACCCAACCAAAAATAAACCACCGCAATCGTCATTCACCCTGCCTCTGTGATTGAACAGTAGCACGTTCAAAGCGTTTGACTACTGCGTAGGTGTTTAGCGGTTGCGCTGTACAGCTCTCCAATGTTTTTCGTGTTGAAATCTGTGCCTGTCGGCATGCGCTAAATATTCGACTCCTGAAGAAACTCCCTGCTCTTAGAGCGAAACGTCGGACAACGTCCCAAATAACAAGTGGTACAACCCCAAAACGAATCCAAGAGATACATAACATAGTAAATCAATGTCACTCAGTGCATCATCTCTCTGGCATTGCTAAATTGAGTGCTTCATTTGTCCTACGAGCTGGGTATATATTGTATGGCAACAGCATGGAGAGTCCTTCATGCAGAAGTGTATTGATTATGGCTGCTGCTGCTGCTGCATCTGCTGCTGAATGATGATGATGTCCAGTGGAAAAATTGGCTCCCACCATATGAATGTGGAATTCCCACTCTTGTTGTTTTCGCCAGCGACCTGTCAATCACAAGTGGCATTGCCGGAAACATTACACTAATGTGTGTGTCTTTATTTAACAAGGCAGTTGTCAATGGTGGCAGTGGGAGCAGTTCATTCAGTATTTGCTTACTTGGCAAGAGTTGTTATTTTCATTTTGAGCAAATCTTAAAGAACTTTAAATTAATGCATTGTTTTTGTCATTATGCTCGTTTTTCCAGGAAAGCCTCACTGCATCTCACAAATCTTTTTCATGAGGGTCTTGCCAATGTATTATTATGGTTTGTGGGTAGGGGGGGGGCAATAGTTGTTGTGTATGTTCTATTTGAGTAACGACTTAAGATTAACTGCAACATACTGCTCAGAGCCGCTGGAGAGCTGCAGGATCTGGCCTTAAAATGTGTGGGAACCAAAGCATTTCTGTCTCTCCACGACTTCCCCCCTTCCCCCCCTCAATCAATCTTCATAGGCAATTCAACGTGTGGCTAGGATGATAAACGATGATTCCATGATCAGCTTTGAACCGGTGATTTTGGGTGTAATCTCGTGAGCACCAACTATATATAAAAAAACACCATTTGGCATCAACTGTCACACGCAGCGCAGCTTCCAAATCCTCTTCACGCTGTCTGCTGAATGATCACTGCGTCTCGCAGTCTGCGTATTGCCGCCATACATCAGTACTGAAGTGGCATTCATTCATTCGTGGACCTCATAACGTTCACTTCTCTGCCTTCCGGCCCCCAGAATGATTATCGCTTTTGTCTGCCGTCAGCTCGAAAGGTAGACGCAGTGTACCCGGCGCCCATGAAAAATATTAATTGTGTTATGATTTGCCTTTCCCAAATACCCCCTGCCACCAACTCAAGTCGATAAATTGTTCCGATTCATGTTTAAAATGAGTGTTTTCTACGTCGTGGTCAATGTCACGTGGATTGTGAGGGTTATTTGACCGTACTTCATTCCCCTGGTTTGAATGTGTTTGTGAAGCTTGGGAGCATTGATGTGGGTGGGAGCGGAGGCATAGAAGTATCATATAACTTGACTTAAAGCTCGTGTCCTCTATGTGGCGGCGGCTCTACGATCTTACATTGACTTGCTAATCTCTCACAATACAATGGCCACCTCCATGCCCTCGTCGTGGAGGTAGATCTCAAATCTTACATTGACATGCAAATTTCTCACATTAACATAACTAGCCCCGCCCACTTCGTTTACGACCCTTGGGCTACACCCATTCCACACCTTTAAGACAGCCTGCCGCAGCAGCTTTACCCCTTTTCTCTCCTGATGACGATTGCTTGCGTTGCGACCGAAACGTCGTGATAGTTTTTACGATACGATTTTTTATTCACACTTTATTTTCATTGTTATTTTTATTATATTATTGTTATTTTTCCTATCTACGTGACTTTACCGAAAGAGCCAAAGAATATCATATAACTGTGACTTTTGCTGCACTGCTCTCTGCTGCTTTCACAATGTGGCCCCACAGCAAGCCTATAATACCTGTTGTGCATGGTGCTCACCCATCCACGCACAATTCAGGCTCAACTCATGCTTGGCATGAGATATCTGATGAGATTGGGAGCGTTTTGTGTGATTTGGACAAGTCAGATGTCATCGTCATTGTCATTGTTGTCTTTCTCTTAACCACAGTGGTTGTGGGGGCTCCACTGATGGTCTGGCTGTCAACTCTCTCCACTTTTACCTGTCCTTTTTAGTCTTTGCCAGGTGTTGTCCAAACTTATTAGTCCATGTTGTCACTAAAAATATCTATTCTCACGTGTGCGATTTGATGCAAGTGTTGTGGCCGCCTGAATCAATAATCGATGCTTTGTTTTTTGTGCCCACTAGAAATGCCACCTCTGATTTGTTTGGCACGCTTGGCTTGGCACGGTTTGTTTATTCCAGGTTTCCACCACATTTGTCTGCGAAATGAGAGCAACCAGCCGTTGAGTCTCCCTGCAATTTTCGTTTTCATTCAAGTCAAGGATTATGTCCCGGTCGCCTTTGAGAGTGAGTATGGGGCATCTCGTGACCTTGGCTGTTTCCTGTCTCTTTCCATCGATCACGGGCACTAATCTTGTAGACCTCTGCCCCAGTAGCGTCTATGACTGAAGAATTCCAGGCGCATGATCCTTCTGGCCTTGACCATCATGTTCTCTGTAACATTAAGTAAATAAGCCAGCCCCCTTTCCCACTTTATTGTATTTAAGGTCATTATGCACAGTGGTTGAAAAACATTGCCACTAATCCCGATGAGTTGAGCCTATTGTGCTGAGTATTTAATTTAGATAAATGCTACTTTGAATGTGCAAGAAAGGCATTGGAGTTCGCTCGTGGTGGCCACGGAAATCGTGAATTTCAATAAAGTACGTACAATCTTGGAAATCTTCTTTGGTTCTTTCGGTAAAGTCACGTAGAATGAGAATAAAATAATAAATTGATAAAATAAAATAACACAATAATATTCTCACGACGTTTCGGCCACAACACAAGCGGCCTTCATCAGGTGTCCTACCAGACAGTCTCGTCCCTTCACCTGATGAAGGCCGCTTGTGTTGTGGCCGAAACGTCATGAGAATATTATTGTGTTATTTTATTTTATCAATTTATTATTTTATTCTCATTCTACGTGACTTTACCGAAAGAACCAAAGAAGATGAATCCTTGCAGTCACGAAAGCTTAAAATCGAAATCTTGGAAATGGCTGGGGAGGAGTGGGGAGGGCTATAGAAACACGTTCGATTCGGTGTGCCTTAAATTTACTTTAAACAATGCTATGAAATCTCACTGAAGATGAATACGCCAAAATTGTAGCCTTAGTTTTAAGTACTGCGAGGTGATTGAGTGGAAAGGTTTCCAAACATGGCAATGTGAATTAAAACCTTGGCCAGCATTATCTCATCCGCTCATCATAATGAGCACCACCTAGTAAAGCTTTCCCTAAGGACAGACTGGTCCCTGCCAAATGAATGTAGAATTTACATCACTGGTTGTAGACTTCCATCAGTATAAATAATAATTGCACATCATTAAATTGAGCAAGGGGTGACTGTAACTTAAATTTCTGATTTGAATTCTGCAATTTCAAAAATAACCACGTGTCTTTATTTGTGTTATCTCTTTAAAGATTTCATCAGCGGATTGTCAAACCCCATAATGTACCAGGGGTTGATGGAGCAGCGAGCCAAGCAGCTGGAGTCTCTCACCATGGACGAGGTACGAATTAAAAAATAATCTTCAAGGATGATCAGAGCGTTGAAATGGCACTGCTGTTTCCTGGGTTTGACTCCAGCCCGATGTCTGGTTAAACCAAGCTCTCAAGTGTAGAGAGGATTTTAATTGTGAAATTAATCCATCGTTGCATGTCCCAATAGACATTTGTTGTATGACCATTATCATCAGGGTAGTCACTGCTGTATGTTGACGGTGAGCGTATGATGGGCTCCGCGTGGAGCAGGACCAGGTGGACAGTCAGGCTGCACCGCAGGCTCCTCAGACCCCACAGCGGCCAAGCCCAGGCCCTCGGCCTGACCCTGTGGCCGCACCGCGAGACAGACACAGGGCCAGCATCACCAACCCGCCAGACTTGCTGGGCCTCGGTACGTGGCCACATCCACACTCCTGCCTCTAGAACACATGGAGGTCCTGCCTCTAGAACACATGGAGCTCCTGCCTCTAGAACACACAGAGCTCCTGCCTCTAGAACACATGGAGCTCCTGCCTCTAGAACACACAGGGCTCTTGCCTCTAGACCACATGGAGCTCCTACCTCTAGAACACATGGAGCTCCTGCCTCTAGAACACATGGAGCTCCTGTCTCTAGAACACATGGAGCTCCTGCCTCTAGAACACATGGAGCTCCTGCCTCTAGAACACATGGAGCTCCTGCCTCTAGAACACATGGAGCTCCTGCCTCTAGAACACATGGAGCTCCTGCCTCTAGAACACAGAGCTCCTGCCTCTAGAACACATGGAGCTCCTGCCTCTAGAACACACAGAGCTCCTGCCACTAGAACACATGGAGCTCCTGCCTCTAGAACACATGGAGCTCCTGCCTCTAGAACACATGGAGCTCCTGCCTCTAGAACACATGGAGCTCCTGCCTCTAGAACACATGGAGCTCCTGCCTCTAGAACACATGGAGCTCCTGCCTCTAGAACACACAGAGCTCCTGCCTCTAGAACACACAGAGCTCCGGCCCCTAGAACACATGGAGCTCCTGCCTCTAGAACACATGGAGCTCCTGTCTCTAGAACACATGGAGCTCCTGCCTCTAGAACACACAGAGCTCCGGCCCCTAGAACACACAGAGCTCCTGCCCCTAGAACACATGGAGCTCCTGCCTCTAGAACACATGGAGCTCCTGCATTTATAACACACAGAGGATTCATTATATCTCGTTCCTCTCAGACATAACATCCACATATAAAGATGTCAGAGCGACACTGCGATTGTATAAAGTAATACAATACAAATGGAAAGTAGTCGGGCAAGGATATACGCTCTCACAAAGGCTTTTCAAAGTCTTACTACACGGTGTTTTCTGAAGATTGGATTTGAAAGATGAAGTCATAATATAATTGTAAACAATAGGAACGATCTAAGATTATTCTCACAACATCAACTGATATACAGGCTTACATTGCATCCAGTTTGAGGTTCTCACGTATACAACCTTGAGTAACTGAAAAAATAATGTTCATGGCCCACTAACGATAAATAAAATTTAAGTTGGTGTGGCCATTTCACGTTTGACAGCAATGTATTGTCCTGTGTGGGGTTTCACAGGCCTGTCCCCGAAAGTTGATAAAAGATGCAGCATTGATGAGCATTTTCAAGGTGAGTGTTCAGAGTAATTATACTTTGTCTTTCCTGCATTTTCCTGCATCCCACACTCTCCTCTGAAAAGGAAAGTCTTGGTCTAAGGCTTGTTTAAATGGAGGATATGTATGTATGCATGTGAGTTCATGGTTCATGCTGCGGTTCTATTAACCATAAGCATTCGCAGTGGACATTACAGATCCTGTAACGTTATTCGAAAACTAGTGGATCATATATATCGGCGCCATTGTTTACAAATTTCCAAAACCTGAAAACAGATTTTGCCAACTTTTTAAAATTGTCAAAACCGCATCACAAAATCGCCCCCCACGGTAGATGATACCCAATCGCAGGGCACTACTGCAGACCCCTCGGTGTCGTGGTGTATGGACATTCTCCACTGGGCGGGGGTTACCTTGGCTAGGCCGTGAGGCGCTTTGAGACGCTGAGCTGTTTCAGCAAGTGCCACTGTGAATGAAAATCCTTTCGCGATGGCTCGTGGCTTTTCACAGCGGACGTGCGCCTCGCAAGTCTGGACGACCTTAAGTGCAACAAGCTGTTCAACAAGATGTCCAAGCGGCACATGAAGGAGCTGCAGGATCTGCAGAAGAAGAACGGCAAGAAGGCGGCCGACCTGATTAAGGAGCAGTCGTCGCAATTGTCCGAAATGCAGTCGGGCATGCTCAAGAAGAGAGCGTCTTTTGAACGGCAACTCTTCAAGGGAAGGAGGTGAGGTGTCGGGTCGCGCAATCGCGATGGGTTTGGCGCGGCCCCTCACCCTGCCCTGTACCGAGAACGTCTGTTCTCACTGTTCAGTAACAGGAGTTCAAGTTTATTTTGTTGAACCAGGCAAGAACTCTGCAGGCCACGACAGTGTCATTTGGAAGAGTTAACCTGCCTCTAGAACACACAGAGCCCCTGCCTCTAGAACACACGGAGCCCCTGCCTCTAGAACACATGGAGCTCCTGCCTCTAGAACACATGGAGCTCCTGCCTCTAGAACACATGGAGCTCCTGCCTCTAGAACACATGGAGCTCCTGTCTCTAGAACACACAGAGCTCCTGCCTCTAGAACACATGGAGCTCCTGCCTCTAGAACACATGGAGCTCCTGCCTCTAGAACACATGGAGCTCCTGCCTCTAGAACACACGGAGCTCCTGCCTCTAGAACACATGGAGCTCCTGTCACTAGAACACATGGAGCTCCTGCCTCTAGAACACACAGAGCTTCTGCCTCTAGAACACATGGAGCTCCTGCCTCTAGAACACACAGAGCTCCTGCCTCTAGAACACATGGAGCTCCTGTCTCTAGAACACATGGAGCTCCTGCCTCTAGCACACATGGAGCTCCTGCCTCTAGAACACATGGAGCTCCTGCCTCTAGAACACATGGAGCTCCTGCCTCTAGAACACATGGAGCTCCTGCCTCTAGAACACACAGAGCTCCTGCCTCTAGAACACATGGAGCTCCTGCCTCTAGAACACATGGAGCTCCTGCCTCTAGAACACATGGAGCTCCTGCCTCTAGAACACATGGCGCTCTTGCCTCTAGAACACATGGAGCTCCTGCCTCTAGAACACATGGAGCTCCTGTCTCTAGAACACATGGAGCTCCTGCCTCTGTCTGTCCACCACAGTTGCCGGTGCTGTCCACCAGCCAGCGCTATTACACTACATATGTAACAAATCAAGTAAGCTCAAACTCAATCCGCAATCTCACAACATCTATATCTCTTGTCTATATCTCATCTGTCATTTCCCTAGTCGTTTATCTCTTCTTTATGTCTTAATATGTATGTTGAACTTCTATTGCACCATACATAGCCAACCATGTTAATCAGAGGTGTGGGGGGAGGACAATAAACTAAACACAAAAAGCAGTTCTAAAGAAATTAGTTTCCAATCTAGATTTAGAAGTGCATAGCTCCAGTGGCTTCCTAATATCGAAGGAAGAGCTTCCAGACGGCCGCAGAAGCGCATCCGAAAACACGCGATGCGGTGACCGCCATTGTTCGATAGCTCGCCAAAAGTCGGTGTGAGGATGACGAGATCAGCGAGGAACTGTGGTTCATGTGTGGCGAGCACTTTGTGTGTACCGAGCGCGACCCTGTAATGTATTCTGCCATCACAAATTGAAAGGAGAGGGGGGCCACCCAAAAAATGACTTCCGTGCCAGAACCCCCAGTGGGCATGGCACCACCAATGGACCTCATTCGTACGGCCGTGCGTCTTCCAGAGCGCAGTGTGCCAGTGCGCTCATTGCAGAATTTCCCAGCAGAGGGTAGCACAGAGCTGCCGGGCAGATCTGTCCATTCGCGGGCTAATGCAGCTGCCAATTGTGTTCAAAACACACAAGCCAAAAAAAACATGCTGGAGGAGTTATTGCCATTATTAGTGCCCCCCCCCCCCGCAAGGAGCCCCTCGGAGGTTTATTGGAGGAGCACGGCACGCTGCGCTAATAATAAAAGTGGTATGTCAACAAAACACAATGGGCGCCTTGCAGGACAGGCCCCCCCCAACCACTGGGGGGGGGGGGGGGGGCTTCGGAACGACTACAAAGCGGCGATGTCGTTTGTGGGAAATGCGTCAACAGATTTCCTTTGTAGCGGCGATGTCAATTACCGCTTGCAGTGATGGTCACACACTGCTCCGGTTGGATCATTATGTGCTCGTTGTCCAATTTGCGGAAATTTGGATGAATTTCCCGCTTTGCTTCCTTCCTAATAAGCGGGTGAGGCATCTTGATGCTGTTCTTGTGTTGCCAACTAAAACCGAGTGTAAAAATACACCCCCGGATGAAACGGTCCTGCCGATGGTAATTTTGGTGACCTATTTATGAAAGTGACGATGATGGGCAGTGACTTTATTATGATAATGATGAGCACTTTTGGTTCACTATCCAGGGCTTCAGATGCATAATTGAAGAAATGAAAAAAAAAGGGTTTTCCTGAAGGGATATCCCTTCAAGTGATAATTTTATTCATACACTATGGGCACATTTCTCCACACCCCTATGAAGGGAAATGTTAATTTCGTTAAACGGGTCGTGAAGTAATATTTTAAATAACATACCAAAGTATGAAATTGCAATTAGTTTTGCATTACGTCTTGAAATATTAACTGACAAAAATGTTTTACTTTTTTCCACCTGTTGAAACGATGGTCAAATTATTTTTCTTTAACCCCTCCCACTTTCGCTCCACCAGGCAGTGTCAATGGACGCACCACAGTTAGTCAATGGGCAGGTTGCAAAGGGTGGGCCAAAGCGTGGGGGTCATCCCACCACTTCCACAACGTGTGGCCAGCATGCGTGAGGGTAAAAGGGGCTCTCGAGGGGGCTACCTGTAGTAGTGGAGGCCTTTTCACCAACAGTCGTGTGAGCAAGCAATTGCAGGGCTGCACCTGAACCTCCTCATTGTGTGTGTGTGTGCGCTGCAGTGTGGATTGCAAAGAGCCGTACGTGGACTCGGAATTGAGCCGCTCCTTGACTGAAATGCGGAAGAAGCAGCAGGATGATCTGGTGCTGCTGAGGCAGGATCACTATGCTCAGGAACTGCGCAAGAGGGGGCAGCACAATGCACAGGTGGGCACGGGCAGCAGATCGAGGCGTGAGCTCGTATGGCACAGAATGATAGAGGCTCTGCATTCAGCAGCCGATGGACATCTCCACGTTGCGCCCGATGACTTCACTTGCAATCGCATGCGATGTATGTGCTTGTATGTGGAACTTCTTTCGCGCTGCACGTAGCCAACTGTACCAATCGGAGGGGCTATATCCTTGTCTGTTGACACGTTATCAAAATAGTACACTCTGTATCTGTTTAATGTTTGTGTAACTTTAATGTGATCACACTATGATCACTTTAAAAATAATCTGATGAGCCGACGTACGCTGCAAGGAATGTATTGTTTTACATTGATTTATGTTTATGTTTTTTAAAGGTGAAACTTTAAACACCTTAAGCGGGCGTGTGATGTGAATGCATCGGGGAATGGATTCAAATTTGATTCTCATGCTCACAGCTTAATTGCAGCCTGGTTTTGTTTATCTGGCTTGGCCACCAGCACAATATGTCATGACCCACCACACCACATCCAGTATAACTCTTGTTATAGCTTTGGCTACCAGTCATGTGCCTGCTGCAGTCTACCAGCGACTGATAACATATTCAGGGAAAAAAATATCCCTGCCTACACTCACGATGATGCACACATCAAATTGCGCGTTTATGAATCCGTTAATGACAATGTATGCAATGCACTTGCAAGTGATGAGCTAGGTTTTTTGGTGTGACGTAAACAACATTCTGCGAACAAAAGTGAAGTCACAATAAGCAAATATTCAATTCCATTCTTGCATACGGCGATACCTTTGGGTGCTAAATGCCAATGTCGAGGTCTGTTAGCCATGAGAAGGCTTCAGGAGAAAGTTTCGAGCGGTTTTGCTGTTCCTCCTCCTCCTCCTCCGTTGAAGCAGCACGGACGACAGTGGCTTACTGTGTGTGGTCTAATTTTGGGTTGCATGGCCACAATCGTACTGCCACGGCTTGTCATTGATTTTTCCATTTACGAAGGAGACATGTGCATCGCCTGTTGATGTTTTGGCAATATTAACGGCAGTTGGCATAGTGCACCCTGATCAGTATGTCCAATATAGCTAAGGAATTACATGACTGTCTCTGTGAATTCCATATAACTTGGTGGAATTTGTATGGGCTTTACATTCACGCTCACGTATTTTACAAAACGATATTTAACCTCTGTGGAACACACGTAAACACCTGGAAAGGGAATTGCTAAAGCAGGATAGTTAGAGTCATCAAGGGCTAAAACATTAACTTGTTTCATGAAGAAGGGAACACTGCCTCTCTACGATGCCAAAACATCTCCGATTATATATATATTTCCTCTTTAGGCCAGTGTTGTGGATTAATGTGTTGAATGTTGTGCTGTAATGTACGTGTGCACCACTGCAAACCCGGCCTTCTTCTTTCCTGCAGATTAATGGCAGCATATTAAAGATGTAATTTTAGATTTGTTAAACCGCACTGCCAACCCAGTAGTTTCGTTTAACCTGCTTCGTGAAATGCTGAGGACGCACTTTGATGTTGCCCACAATTTAAATTTATATCCGGTATGTGTTTTTTTTTTCTTCATTTTTTTGCTAACCTCATATATATTTTTTTCTCTCTCTCTCTCTAGATTTATGAGAAGCTGCTGGAGCTGGCTCAAGAGAGCTACGCGAGCCTACAGAAGAAGCTGAAGGACGTGTGTGAGAAGTAAGCCCGGCCGGAGAATCGCTCACACTGTGTAACCGGACTGCTGCCATAGCACACGTGTCTTAATAACTTTCCTCACTGTGTATAACCACATGTCGCACAACGATACATTTCATTTCTCACGAATGCATCTTCCGAGAATTAACCGGCGCACGTTGCTGCAGCTGTTTTATTTTGTTATTGATGAAATCAAATTTTAAGCTCAATAAGTGCACACGGTCTGCACTTCTCTTTGCACCGATAGGCGCATGCTTGCTGTCGCACTGCGAGGCAGAAAGAGAAACGTATGGATGAGAGAACATTGCAGCTGCAGAGGCATGAGTTCGACTGTGAAGAAAAGGAAGTGGACTTGGGGAATCACACAGAGGAGGGAAGCACACCCTAGAGGCCGTCCTCCTTGGAGATGGAGCTAAGAAATCAGCCCGTGTGGACGTGCAATATGGGTTGTTGCATTGCAGGGCCACGAGAGATGGGGGCAGCTTGGAGAGGCCTTCCTTCATCTGTCGGTGAATTGATCGTGCCGATGTTGATGATTCATGCGCACAGAGTGTTCACAGTTCCTTTAGCAAGAACCAGACCAGTAATCCCGAGATGGTATCCCTTTTGTAACCTACCGCACATCTGCAACGAATGAAGTGATCAAGCGGGCAGTAACCTATGCCCTGTCCTGGCCTATGTGACGATTAGGGTTGCAGTGTGCACATTTACAGACGAGCCATTGTCAAGTGAGCTCATCGGTTAGTTACCTTCTCAAATCGCAGCCAGTGAGAGACCCAGAAGATGGAATGTAATCCGTTAAAGCGCGAGAAAAGAGGCAAGTGATAGCGTTCTATCTGTCGGAAAGAGAAACGCAATCAGGCAGAAGAAACATAACCACACAAGCCAGTGAAAGTGTTCCGTTCAGCCATGAAATGAAACGTAACGGAACAATTGGCAGGGCAGGACAACAATATAACATTGTACCTCTTTGTCACTGGGAGTGCATAGACATTTTAATTTTCTTCTGGTTACAGATGCATCATAAAACTAATCAATAGTTGGCCGTTCATGGTGTGTAGGTTGTCGTGGTTGTGCTGTGAAGCGTTCTGGTATTTTCGGTTGTGCTGCTTGTTGTTTGACGTGATGTCCGACGTTTCGCGATGCCCGCTGTGGAGCTTATTCATATCGAACTGAAGAAGCTCCCAGCAGCACGTGGGGCAAAACGTTGGACATAATGCCGAACAAGACCCGAAAACACATCGGAGAGCAAGCGTATATCCCGTATATATAAAAAGAAAGAGTTGAGGATTTCTTATCAATGCTTGCGTGAAAAATAGCAAAGCTTTAAAATGTTTTTTTTAAATTTCAGATATCAGAGAAAGTGCATTCTCTTGTATTGTGTACACCGAAGTCTGGGATTTACTGCATTAAATTATGTTTTTTACAGGATCAGAAATGAATTTTCCTGCTTCAGCTGCAAAAAATTTAGCATTCAGGAGCCTCCTTTTCCATTTTGTGCTTATTCCTGCAAAAATTCCATATATTTGGCATTCCTTCTTTTAAACGCTTCCCATGGGGATTTATTGATAGGGGGCGGAGCTCTGAAATGTCTATCGGGGGATTCATTAAACTCCACTTTATTTTGAAAAATGACCCGGTTCGGGTTTTCTAGAGAACCCGCGCCAGGTGTGGCCAACGCAGGTTATTTTAATGATGGATCGCCCTCCGCACATTTCACATTAAACTCCGTGGCTTCTTACCTGACGTGGCTGCGATGAAAAACTTGAAGCGACTCATTTTTCTACGTAAGGAGCAATTCAATCCCCCACCCACCCACCCACGCTGCCCCATCCCTCCCCCGCAACCCACCACCCATGTGGGTCACTGCTGTGACATGCACGTGCTCCTTGTCACCTCCTTCCAGGATGACGTCAGTACAGAGAGCAAAGCGCCATGCTCTTGCCAGATGCAGTCGCTCAGCTCATCTTACGCCAATGAAAGCAAAGCGTGGTTTATCACCGTACAGGAATGTTAATCAGTGTTTGCGCTGAAATGTTGTCATCATGCCCCCCCCCCCCTCACCTCCCCAACCTCCTTGTGCAACATATATTCGTGATTGTCATTTATTAGACGATCATTAACATTATTAAACGTAAGCGTTATTATTTATTTATCCAATATGGTTAGGGTGGCTTGGCAAGAAAGTACTGTCTTCCAAAATAATTGGCCAGCCTGGAATTGTAGGCCTCTAGACCCTCTGGAGGGTGTCTCTTGACTGAGCTCCTAGTGGCGGCCCTTCCACCAGCAGTGGCGTTTGCAGGCAATTGCAGCGCCGTACCTTTACCCACCGTCTACCGACCACCTAAAGTGGCAACACTTGGCCAGAAACGAGCAATTCATCGCTTACAACTCCACACAACTGGCACGCGTGGTCAAGTCGCGGCAGATCATCGGGTTTTTTTCGTCCTCGTCATTGACGTTGTCGCCCGTGCCCTCTGCGTCACAGAGAGGAGAAGGACACGAGGAAGCAGATGGACACGGTTCGCCAGGAGCAGCTGGAGAACGCCTCCAAGGATGTGAAGGACAAGAAGGAGCTGGAGAGGTAGGCTCCTGGGGGAATGTGCCGACTGTGGGGCGGCTCGATGGCAAGGAGGCCCCCCCCCCCTCGCCACGGCTGGCTCAGCTAGCAGCTCTCCCGTGCAGCTTTAGAACGCGCACGGTAGAGGGCAGCCCGCGTTGCCAGGCAGGTTGAGCAAGTCTCACGGCCCTGTGGGGGCCCATTCCTGCGTTGGTGAATGATCCTTTTCTTGTGATGTTTGGTAAAAAAAAAATGCATAAGGCAAAGGATTGGCAATTATCAGATGCTTAATTGCCTCAGCAATTCAAAGCTGCTGAGATCACATCTCATAATCAATCATTCCAATTGCCCTGCTGCAGTCTGGTCAAGGGGACCCACAATGACAGCTCTCCCTGTGCAGCAAAGGTGTACGTTAGCACGGGCTTGCAAATGGCATAAGCCAGGCGATGTATTTCAACGAAATTGTCAAGATGTGAATTTAGTTTGAAGTGTCTCCATACTCAAATGAGCTTCTGTGGGTGCTCATCATATTGTTTGTCCTGATCCTTTGGGAGAAATTCCATATTGGTATGGCAGGGGCTAGTGTACAAGTGGACTGTTTTCATAACTAAATTGATGCACAATTGACGATAAACTTTTTTGATAAAAAAATGTATATACTCAGCAGGTCCGTCAAATAACATTGTGGCCATAATTGGGGAAAAATATATATAACAAGTGATGTTTTGGGACGCCACGGTGGCGGGATGTTAACTACCTCGTCTGGTACACAGGAGGTCGTGTGTTCGATCCCGACCGTGACGCTAGTATATTTGGAGTTTGCATGTTCTCCCTGTGGTCGTGTGGACTTTTGTTTGGGACCTCCGGTTTAACACTCCACGACACGTGATGCGCCATTTCCTTGAGCTATCATCTGTGGTCAGGTCGCTTCTGATAGTTAAGTTTAGTTTGTAATTTTAAGACATTGCTATTGACAAATGTGTGTGTTTTTTTTGGTAATTGCCAATGCAGCATTACCAAATTATTTGTTTATTTTTTTAAAATATTATTTTGATATGCTTGTTTTATTTTTAAAGCAGTGCTATTAACAAATGTGATTCACAAATAGATTTTCTGCACATGTACGCATTAATTAAACTCTGTAAATGGAGAATGGCAATACGCTTTAGAAGAGGTACTCGAATATAATACTTCAAAATATACTCTTTACACAAAGTTTTAATACTTTTTTTTAAATTTCTCACCATCTAAAGTTACGAGTGCGTGTGTTTGTTTATAACGGTGGAGTCCACATTACACACTTGGGATGTATAATTGCATTGTATGACTCTTCATTAGTTAACACCGATCGCTGGACGGTGGCAAATTCCTGGTGCTGTTCATATTTCAAGGTTTGCACAACAATGTCCTTTCTTTACAGGCAAAAGAACCAGATCAACACCATGCACATACAGGACACAGTTGTCAAGGTTAAAACAGTAAGTTAGCATTTCCATTGCATGTAAAGGTTTTGTGTTAATGAATGCTTGGAGGCTCCAAACTCACATACCAGCACGTGTCCCGTGCTTCTGGTGAAATATGTTTTCTATTGCAGCGATGGCACACCTGGATTGCAAACAGCAATACAAACAAAAACCTTTTTTATTGAACTTCAGAATTATAATGACAGAAGTCAGACACAAGTTGAACTATATCATAGGGCCCCGTCGAATTAAAACACACAGAAGGGAACGAAAGAAGATCATAATTAAGCGGTGGGGAGAGTGGTGGCGCAGTGATTAGTGCTCTGTGCTTAGGAAGCCGGCGAACCTGAGTTTCATTACTTATCACGACTAACATTCAGTGGCTAATACATTCTTAAGTGATCCCCATCCACTACCCTGTGCTGACCAGTGGTTTTAAGTACGACACAACAACAACTCCCATGACCGACACAATGTGGAGAGGGCCTTCATTCGACAGTGGCTTGACAAAAGGCTGTAAATTATCATGATTTTATCACAGCAGATGAGAAGTCCAATTCTTGATCCCCAATGTAGCCAGACATAGCAACTTTAATTGCACGCCCGCTATGTCCGCATTGGACCAAAATATATATATATTTTTTATTGCCTGAAACCTTTCCTGGAAAATTAAATGGAATGCTCCCGTAATTGTCATTATCCCTTGTGTCTTGAAGTGATGGAGAGTTCCATATATTTTCCTACACTTTTTGAAGTTTAAGTGTTTGGGTTCTTGAGCATTAATTGCTGTGACTGTGTTCATGCCTTTAGTTGCAGGATTCTCAAGAAAAGCGAAAGGAAAGGATTGCAAAAACGTACGAGCAACTCCTGAAGCAGATTAAGGACGAGGAACAGATGGTATATTGTGTCTCATGTTCCTCGTGATTCTGCTCTTTCCATTGAATGTCTTGCCATCTCTTGCATTGCTCGTGTAGCCTCTAAAATACATTTATCTTATTTGTGTCCTTCAATTTATCATTAAATCAACTGCTTGTGTTGTCTCTCACGTTCTCATTCAGCGAATGACAAGAAGCGCATTTATTACTTTTGCATTTCGACCGGTACTTTTGATTGCTCACTGGTGCTGTGTTGCCTTGAGCGGCGAGATGTTAACTACCTCGCTTGGTATGCAGGAGGTTGTGGGTTCGATCCTGAACCTGATGCCTGTATATTTGTAGATGACATGTTCTCCCTGTGTTTCTATAGATTTTTCTCCAGCTCCTCCGGTTTTTCCCTCCACATTTAGAAACATGCATTTAAAGTTTTTGGCTGCTATGCGTTTCCACATGATAAGCCACTTCGTTGCACTATCATTTGTGGCCAGGTCACTTCTGAAAAAGAGCTACATAGCTCAGTGAGCCTTACCTGGTAAAATATACAAGTTGTAGTAAAATGGTGAAACACAGCTCATGTGTGAAATCCACCTTGAAGAGTTGTTGTTCAGTGGCTGTGATGTGGGAAGCTGCAATCCATGAATGTGCCTCATAAGAGATTGTTTCAATATAAAAAAGTTTTAAATTTCACTTTTGAAATTCAGACTTAGCACATTTGGTTTTTAAAACGTGTGCTGTATTTCCTCTATATCGGTTGTCATTTTCCCATTGCTATGGCGATGTAGGGTTTCTCTTAATAATGAATAGAAAGGAGCATTTGCTTGATGACAGATGTTTATGAGTTCACCCACAGAAGATTGGCACCTCCCCTCCGATTAGCATAGTTGGCTATGTACGGTGCAAAAGAAGTGCAACATGCGTACAACTCCTAGTCAAAATATTTTGCAGGGTCACAATTTCAAGCAGAATGCCATCTCTAAGTGTTATGTAGCCAGGCATGAGTATCATTTCTTAACGTGATTCAGCACTTTGCAGGCACGGTTGATGTATCATGCAGATCTCAGCCATGTCCTGTTGAACTAGGAGATGTCCAGTTGGTGGTTATACAGTAAGAGGGTTGATAACTTATCCCTTCAGATTTCCGAGCGGTCTCCCCTCGTGTATGAGGGGTTTTTATTCTTCCAGATACTCTCATTTCCTCCCACATTGACTGTCGTTAAGGAAATTGGCGAAACATCCTAAAGCCAAAGGCCCTTTTGAAAATGAGTTTTGAGACTCAGAGCAAGGCTTTCCTGGCTAAATAAGGAACAATATTGTTATCAATAATATGAATAACAACCTCCCCATGATGTCCACCTGCCTGTCCTTCATTTCCCCAGCAACTGAAGTCCCTGCAGATAAAGTACGAGGAGAAGTTGAAGCGGCTGCCCACGGAGATCAAGGACTACGTGGAGGGTGGCATGAAGGGGCGGCTCCCCCAGGAGCCGGAGTTCTTCTTCCGCACAAACTCACGCAGCTCCTTCGAGGAGTTTGGCTTCTCGGTGTCGGTCGACTGCGACGACGACTCGGTGGTCACGCAGCTCTGAGTTGGCCTGCGGGAGCTCTCCGCTTCGCGGCCTTGGGAGACCGCCCCCTGGGTGGCTCTCTACGCGTGCCCCCTTCGCCAACGTGGCACCGAATATTCGCCCAAAGAAAAAAAAAAGCGATCGCTGGTCTAGTTACGTACTCAACAGGACTTGAGGAAATAACCGCTATTTATGTACAAATTACTACTTATTAGGCACAGTGTCCTTAGAAATGAGGAAAATGTTTTAATTTGGAGTTTGTTGCCAATGTCTTTTGAGTGGGGAAATGAAGTTTTCTTGATTTTTTTTTTTTCAAAAGAAGATTATATATTGTTGGTACTGCAAGTAGCTCGTTTTGCTCGAGTCTTTTAACGTCTGGTCTCAGCCAGGAAGCCGTGCGTGATCTCGCTTGTGGAAATGTTTTGGTTAAAGAAATTGGACGAGCGCTGGTGAAACTCTCCTGTCGTGCAGTGCCGAGTCACCTTGGCAGGTTCGTGTGCGTTGTTGGGCTTTTCCTGCTGGTGTTTGACGAAATGGGTCAGCTGCACGTTATCTATGTTGTGGTGCGACACTAGGTCAGCGTCCTAGGTGAGCGCAGTAAATGAGTGGTGTTAAACGTTTGGAATGACACCGTTCGTCATTGTGCATACTCGATAATTGCCGACTTATTGTTTTCAAATTTTGTGGGTTGTTTTGTCTCTCTGGTACTGATATCCTCCTGAGGTTATTGCTGGCCTAAATAGGTTTGGGAAGGGGTCAAAATAATGTTTTTTTGTGGGCATGTAATTACAGGACTGGAACATGTCCATGATCCAGAGGCTGAAAAAATGAATGTGGGAAATGCTTATGTGCTTTTGTGCGTGTGGGACTGTTTGAAGGAGTGGATTATGTGGTCTCACTCTCTTGGGGAAATTAACTCATGTCTATAAGGGTGGGACAGGATGATGCTGAAAGTGCTGCACCTTCATATACAACCGGTATCAACACTTGCTGTGGCTTACACTTTACTCAGCAAATCGGCAGTACATCATGACATGTGCAGGCATTATACTTTATTAACTCAGATGAGGATTGTTTTTTTCTTCCATAGGAATGTAATTTACGGAACAGGGAATAGGCACATTATTCAACTCGTCCGGTCAATTCAAGAGCCCGGTCATGCTGCTTGCCATCGCAGCCTTATCTTCCTATCACGGCTGCCTACATCAAATGTCGATTACTCACCTTGCTTCTTTCGATGTCACCCATGGTTATTTCTTCCCGAACCCGTCTGCTAAGCCCACGCTACCTTACCCAATGTGGTGGCAGCCATCTGTTATGGCAGCAGTCACAGCTGCCCCCACAGTTTTATTTGATCCGTCCTCAGTCACGAGACGCCTACTGTGAGATGCGGTCAATCATGGTCAAGTTTAAACAACTGCTTCTTTAATATCCGCTAAATGTATTGCTCCAGTTCTACGCAATGGCAAATCACCGCATAATTGATATAACCCTCCACATTGGAACGTGTGCCTCCCACACTTTCCCTTCAGCCATAAACGGCAGTGTTCTCTTTCTGTCCACCAGGCGCACATGCACTGACACATGTTGTTAACCTGCCAGACAGTTCTGTTAACTGCTATTATTTAAATAATCACCGTTCACCTCAATGTTCATATTCATCATCGGAGTCCTGGGGAGTTTGGGGTCCATCAGTCACCTTTTAAGACTCCGCCACGGTGAAATGATTCGCAAGCGAGACTTGGAATCCAGAGGTCGCCGGTCAGCTCTCCCTGTGCGACAATTCATGTAATGCGCACATTTCTTGGTCTGTCCACCACTGTCCACAAAGAATTATAAATAGATTCAAGACATTTAGTCGATTGACAGGTCGCGTCCGCTGGGGAAGGGGGGTTTGGAAATTTCCTCGTCTTCCAAGACGCCAGTGTGGAAGAGTAGGCCAAAGTTCCGTGCGGAAGGGCACTTTAAAGATTCCTGTGGTGGGGACCTGCCCCCCCTTCCACCAGCAGTGGCACGGGCAACGAATTGCAGAACCCTTCCTTGCCTTTTGTCACCTGTGAAGCTTTGGTACTGCAGTTGTGTTTTAATCTGTGGCATCGCTCGTGGAACTAGTTAAGAGTGAAGGGATTGGCCACTAGCTGAACAAGTCGTCCGCATGTCTCGGTCTCAAACCCTTCACGAACTTCTCCATGGACACAGGGTACCCGTAGCAAGGAGAGACCAGCCTTCGTCTGACAAACCCTATACATGTTTCACACATTATTGCAGTTTGTCTATATTACACAATCTAAGGCATTTACAATAAAAAAGGATTAGGTAGTTGAACTTAAAGATGTTTATGATCATCTTTAAAAGTTCAGATAGGGAAATATGCCGTTTCATGTTTTATAAGTTTTTGTTTATGATACTCTGAGGCAATTTGACCTGTTATATTTTATATAAATATACATTTACAGAGGTAATCTATCAAAGAGAAATACCTCTTTCCCCCTTGATTTTAGAATTGTGAAGAGATGCATGCTGGTCAGGGTTTAGCACGTCATTTAGCATGGTACTGAAGTGGTCTTAAATAAGAAATATTAAAAAAAAAACTTTTTTTTAAACACACTTTAATGAAATGTACCGTACTCGTAATGGCAAAACTCCACGACTCCAGGAAGTGGCCCCGAAGCTTGCCACAACGTAAGGGGGACTGTGGGCAATTACAGCCAACGTCAGCTGTGCGTGGACAATTAGACCCAAGCCGAAACACAACATAAAACAAAGATTGTTTAAAAATATGTTTTTTTAATTATTTTAATGATAGAATATAGTATTGTCATCAGTATGACATAATTATACCAAGTTTTCAGTCGATACCACATTGGGAAGTGGGTTTAAATTGAGTTACAAGATTTGAGGATACAACAACAGACAGTGAGTTAAATAGAAGCGTGTAATAATAAAGCGTGTAGTAGTAATAATAAAAAGGGCATTGTCTTACATTGGGAGCAAATGCATCTCAATTACAATATTAAATATTCCAAAGAAACCTTTTTACCCATGATATAATTTTGCATTGCACATTGTGAAAAGTTTGTAATTATTATTTGGGTTTTCTGTTTATATTGAATCAGCGTTGAAATTTTTGGTTTTTAAGTTGTCATAGCCTTTTTTTACAATTACAAAAATACTGCCAAGATTTGTTGAAATAATCAGTCATGTTTCTTTTAAAATCAGCCACAAACACATCGTGCATATCAGACGAGTTCACATGAAGGCCTCACGATACACAGCATAACCATTGCCTTTTTTGTCGTAGCTACATTTTTAACTACAGTGAAGGAATCTGGGCACATAAAGTTAAATAATGGTATCCGTGGTTACATAATAAAGCTTAAGGGATGGTGGGAGGGGTAGAAGGGGAAATATTAAAACTCATGCATGCTCAAGGTGATGTGACGACGATCTCTTGTGAAATTACTATCCCCGTCAAGGTCAAACGCTTGTGTGATATTCACAATGAGCTGTTTTCTTTTAAAGCAAAATTTCTTTACCCTGTCCTACAAAAAGCATTGCTTTAACAAATTGTCTCCATCAGGCCATTAAAAAAAAACAAATTTACGGTGCTGATGGTAATGTTCAAAGTATTGCGCAAGGTGTGGTTGCATCAACGGCTGAGGCAATGGTGGCAACCCGATCGTGGCAATTCACAATGGAATACGCACATCGAGGTGCCACGTGGAGTCTTGCTCTATCCCCAAATTAAACAATCATTTTGTGCGTCGCGGATTTATCAGTAGATCCACAAGAGAGTCGACACCAGCCGCGGACCGTATGCGCAGTTTAACAAATTAAAATGCCGCAGATGCTCGTAATCCGCCTTTAGGTTTGCCAGGTCTCGCTGCGTGTCGAGCAACAATTATCTCGAGCTTGTGCCACCTCTACTGTGGGCATCTTCAGTCGTTGGAGATCCCTGCGCTCCTGACGATGCCCGCAGTAGTGCGCGGTGAAAGCTCAAGAGGAGAGATCCTCAACAGGCTGGGGAAATAAAACACTATGCCCTGTTTCGTCACTTTCTGGAAGAGACGTCCTCAAGCTAATGTGGAGCGCAAGCTCAAATTAAACATACGGTGTCTTACTGTTGTTGATTTACGTACCTATTGTGATCATATAATCTCGACTTGACTCACGAGCCAGAGGTTTCACGTTTCCTGCTTATAAACAGGGCATATAAATGTGTCTTAAACGTAGGGTGTTTCCTGCCTGGTGGTGGCTGGGTTGCTCTTGTGGTGTTTTGTGCGTGTGTGTGAGTAGGGACCTTCTTTCCCACGCTGCCTCAACTCACTTCGGCTTGACAAACTGCCGCGGGCATGTGCAGAATGTCATGTTGAGCAATAACACTATCAACGGAGCACTGGACACACTATTGGAAGCGCATGAGTTCACATAAGAGTCAGGGGTTGACTCACCCTTGTCATCTGTATGTGGTCAATAAAATGAGTAACACTCTGGGAAGTCTGCAGTCCTACGGCGAAATTGGGTAACCACCGTATGAATGTGAAACTTCTGCCACTGTATCAGGGTCACCGTTGAAGATTACACTTTTTTGGAGGCGCATTTGCCGATACACCCATTGGAATAAATACGTAATACTTGAGCAGTGGTTGTGCACAATTGGTTCTCATGATGCCAAATGTTCAATCTTTTGAGATGTACCAAATTTGGCCAACTTCATTGAGTTATTGCCATTCGGTGTTTGATCACGCGTCATGAAATTCACCTCTGTTACATAATCTATCTTTATGAAGAGAATAATCGGACCTTCTCTGCACTTGAAAACCCCCTTCTAGCAGAGGTGTTGACATTTATTTCCACACCCTTACGTCTCAGGATTTTAAATATCCTGATCACAGCAGCCCGCGCTGACAAATCCTGACTTGGGAATTTGTCAGCTGAAATCTGCCGACTCTTCTCCGTAAGCCTTGGATCTCGATGTTAACAGTCACACACTGTAAGCCTCGTTGCCCACGGAGTCAGGAAAACTTTGGCCACCGATGCGTTAGTGGCAAGCTTGCCCCATTTGTTTGCCAACGGTAAATATCGATGCTGCGCCTTACTCGGTGGTTTGGCTCTCATGGGTGGCTAAACACATGCATGTGTTTCATGAGGCTCCAAAGACAGCAAATGCTACTTTTGGCCATTTGCGTTAAATTCAGAATTCTGAATTGTTGTTATAATGCTTGCACGAAGGTGTTTGGGTTTTTTTTTCTCTTTCTCAAAATCTGCGTTAAAAAAATCACTCCATGGGAAATTAAAACATAATATCAAATAGCTTAATATTGTATTTTGATTTATGCAGAGATTGAACCCCTCCCACCCCATTCGCAAGTCAAATTGCCAAAGTTGCTGTCAATCGAAGTAACTCCATTGTTGCGTGTGCATCTTGACAGTAAAATATACGGTGGTGATTACGTGCAAGTCTCTCCTTGCGTTGTTACATCAGTGTTTAAGCTTCTCCTGTGGGTACGAATCGTGTGCACTGTGCTCGTGTGTGGGGTTTTGTGGGCATATTGTAGATTTAAACGAGAGCTGTGTTTTTATTTGTAGCCACTTGGGTGGTCCCGGCGTACAGGTGGAGAAATATCTTTGTAGGGAATTTCAAGGTGTAAATGGTGTTCTTTTCATTTTGAAAGCTTTATTTAATATATTGTACCTTTTGCGTTGTAACGGGTTTTATAGATCTATGCAACATGTATGTCACATTGTTCTGATCTCGTGGAATCAAATAAAAAAAAATTGTTCGACAACATAATTGCGTATTTAGATGTAGCGATATCCATTTCAGCGAGACGTGCTGGTTCGTTTATGACATTTACCTAGATACCATTATCTGAATGTTTATACACTTTTCTCCCTGTATTTTAAAGGAAAAGTTGCGGGTGTTGTGTTACTTTCCAGAGCATCTTATCATCCAGAGATACGGTTGTGGATTTTTTTGGGCCACGGTGGGGAGATGTTAACTATCTTACCTTGTATACGGGAGGTCGTGGGTTCAATCCCGACCCTGACGCCTGTACATTTGGAGTTTGCATTTTCTACCTGTGGTCACGTGGATTTTTCTCCGGGTCCTCCGGTTTTTCCCTCCACATTTGGAAACGTACGTTTAGAGTATTTGGTTGCTTCTGAAAAAGAGCTATATAGATCAGAGGGCCTTACCTGGTAAAATTAAAAATACTTTAATAGTTTATTTGCCTTCAAATGTATGACATAATTTTTGTAAAGCCTCACTGTGATTATTTAATGATGCTCATTTGTCCAGGGAAGTTTTACTGAATCTCAACTCTACTTCTTTAGGAGGGCCCTACCACGTTTCACCATAGGGGGCGATGTTGTTCCTATGTGTCTTCAAAATTAAGTAATTTTAAAGTTGACTTAAAGCTTTCGTGACTGCAGTAATTCATATTCTTTGGGTCTTTCGGTGAAGCCACGTAGATAGAAAATTTATTTTTAAAAAAATGTTATATCTACGTGGTTTTACCGAAAGATCCAAAGAATATAATTTTCAAGTTATTTGTCATCATCGGGATGTTTGGCCAATACCAATTGCATTGTATGTGTTTTTAGCTAAGGATAAAAACCCATGCGGAACAGGGAGAGGACATCCACACCTCCGATTAATACGGTGTGAAAGAAGTTCAACATACATACACAGAGAGACGCCCGAGTCAGGAATCGAACTCAGGATCTTCTTTCTGTGAGGCATAGGTGTTACCATTGTGCCACCATGCTGCCCAGTAGTTATTTTTTTATCTTTATTATATATTACATTTATTAGGGGTGTATGTTTTATATACATATTGTATTGTGTAGCCATGGTTTAATCAAAAGTATGATTCTGAACAAAATAGATCCAATCCATGATTCCACAATCAATCAATTGGTTATTCAATCCAATCGATCGGAATATATTTCATTTTAGGCTCATAATATTTAAATCTTACAATAATAGACTAGAGTAGTAGATTAATGATAATACTGTGGAATAATAAAATTGTAATGTTTACAATATGACCTGATCTGATCATACGCCCCTCCTATCCATTGAATACTCTTATGATACATACATTTATGGCGCATGTCCATATGTGAATGTTTGGCTTCTGGGTGGAAACTGGCTTACCTGGAGATACCCTGCGCAATAGATAGATTAAATTATCAAATGCTTTACCATCATCTGCTGGCCACATCGCAGGCCAAGAATTTCGAGGCAGTCTCCCATGAATAAAAAAAGTGTTTACGAACCAGGCTCGACTTTGCTTAGCTTCTGAGAGCTGACGAGATTGCGTAGCATTCAGAATTATTTGGTCGTAGGTTCACACTGAAGGAACATTCTGTGCTTTGTTGTAAGTCGGGGTTCTTAAAACATATTAAATAACCAATAAAATACAAGCGGGAGAGTGCCACGGGGAGTAAATACGAAGCCAGAGCCATTTTTACCTATTCATTTAAACCAAGCTGAAATTCTGGGTTTGAACACAGGCAACAGAGTGTAGTGAGTTGATGGGCTTACCCCTGTCCACTTATGATTGCACATACAAAATAATAACATCAAATAAA